TAAAACTAGGTTTTGGATAGAATTAAGTCTAAAAAATATTGGTTTTATTATTTTTAAAGAATAAAACTAGCTTTTTTATAATTTTTAACCAATATCATCTTCCCCTAACGTCCCCAAAAAGTATGCAGTAGAAAGTGTCATAGGTGTCCCTGTACTTCATTTTAATAATTTAGCATTAACTTTGATTTAGGTAGTATAAAAGTTAGTATGGCTAGAAAATCTAATAAATTTGAAAATAAATTAGAAATTTTCACCCACCCCCTCTCGTAGCATAACCATTATTGTTTGAAATTTGCATCCCATCCCAGTGCTCGCCTCGAGTTAAGAGAGCAATTAATTATGGCCATTGGGCACGGGCAATATGTGTGACAGCCATGAAACACGAGCGAGGATCGGACAGCAAAAAAACAGAAACTGGAACTGGACATGGGATCTCTGGGATCTGAGCACTGGACTCCGGGCTGTGGTCTCTGGATCGGGATTGGGATCGGGCAGAGACTTGAGATCTGCGACGGGACCACACGCATCGTGTGTGACGGCGATAAAAATCACAGCATGTTGCAAACAGCCCATTGACGTCCTCTTCGGCCGGCCGTTAATGCTGTTGTTGGGCAAATCTTTTGACAGTTGTGTTGAAGCATAAAGATGCCAAAAGCAACAACATAAAGCCGCCAAGTGCGTATCTGAAGCGTCTGTGGCACTCGGGACCCATGGCAAGCGCATCAATCAAATGTACCGCCAACCGATCGCCCATATTCCATATATACATATGAATAGCTATAGTCATACCCACACGCTCGCGTTCGATCAATCATTTATTATGGCATCGCTGATGGCGGCCCCAACGTTGGTGGCCCCCACCCAAAAAAAACTACAAAACAACCCATAGGCATACAAAACAAAAACAAGAAAGAAAATACTTGGAAAATATAGCTAATTTTCTATGGGCCATATAAATTCGTTTTAAGTTTCTATTTCCAAGGGGGGCGGACAGTTAATTTTGAGCACGAAAAGCAATTGTATCGCACGCCTGTCAGATCCACTTATATGAGCGTTTTTGATGGGCCTCTGGATAGGTATATATAATGGGGCATATGGTATCTATAATGGCCTGAAGGAAATTATAATTTTATTTGATCATATTTTTGGAAGTAGACTTTAAAGGTTGCACATTTTTTAAGAACGTCAATTACCTTACATTATTAACTCTTCATTTAGTTGATATTTCTAACAAATACAAGCAAGTAAGTCAGGTTGAAGCACCTTCTATATATTTCTATATAATTTATTCAGAATATATTTGACCCTCAGCATCAAGTAGCCTGCCCTCGTTATCATCAATTTGAATGACTGAGCCAGAAATATGAGATATGATTAATCTTCAGCGACAGCATTCAAATTGCTTAATATTCCCCAGACCCAAAACCAGGCCCAGGCCCAGACCCATTTATTTGATTGACATTTTGCGCGTTGCCTTATCGCGCCCAGTCAATGAAATAAACATTTTAATTCTAATTAAATTTCGTTGGAATTAATTGCAGCCCGTACGAATAAAGACACGAAATGTTGCCCAAAGCGAAACAACAAGCTACAAAAAAAAAAAAAAAAAAAGAAGAGAACAAATCACGCGAGCTTGGACCGCCCAAGTGGCTGGCTTTCTTCGTTGGTGGCCAACATCCACATCCCCAATCAGTCGACAACAACAAATTTAGTTGTTTGGCTCTCGGACTGTGTGGCTGTGGCTCTTTATCGCCACCATAAATATGGAAATTTTTCATTAGCGATTTCCGTTTCCGATTTATCTTAATGACCAGCTGGCTTGTTGTTGTTGTTGTTTTTGGTTGTTGTAATTAAGAGCAGCTACCGTTTGATGCTTTGGCAAAACATATTGCTGGCAACATATTGCTGATAAACATCAAGGCGAAACGCAATGTTGCCGATGAGACGACGACGACGACAACGGGCCAAAACCACCACAGCCGACATAAACCAGCATACAACCACGACGGACATGGCTCCGAAGAAGAGCTTCGTGTGTGGTCTTTTATCAGGCTTTTGGCCAATGAAAGCGGCTATTAAGTCTTGGCTGGCCAACTGGCAACTTGGGTGGCAACATGCCATTCACCAATCACACATACACAGGAGCACTGATCAAAAAATTTTTAATTTTTAAAATATTAAAAGCTTATTAACATTTTCTAAGACTCAATTTAGTAAAGTTAATGAGGTTTTAACACGACTTTTTAGCATTTTGGTTTTGTATAAAATGAAACCTCCATTTTTGCCTTAGAACTTACACTAAACGAAACTTTAAGCCAGGAAGACTTAATATTACAATAATTTTAGAGTAATATAGATAAATCCATCAGATTCAGGGACTTAACAAGGATCGTTGCATACTCTTAAGCGCCTTTATAACTGATTTTGAAGATCCTAGAAGACTTTCTAGTAAAATCGATTAAAATAGTTAAAACTTATTTTAACAAATCTTTAAACTTTTCAATGCCTTTCTTTTACTTATGAAATTTTAATATATTTTTTATGATAATTATTTATTTTATTATTTCTCTCAGTGCACCCCCGTCTGCTGGCGGCGCCGCACAAAAAAGAAAGCGCGTGCAACGGGCAAAAAAAAACCCAACCGACCGGAACTTCAACTGGCGCTATATGCAATTATACGACTCTGACTCCGACTCCGACTGCGACTGTGTCTGCGGCAAACAGTAGCAGCATTTGCCTTTTGCCAAAGATTGACAGCAGAAACTAAGCTTGGGATGGAGATGGAGATGCCCGGACCACCATGAAGTCCGAATACCACCAATGTCTGGGGGATATATCTCTACATATATATATATATATATATATATATATGTCCGATCTGAGATGCTACCAGTTGCTTGTCGCCACTCCGTTGCGTTATATTGTCAAAAGTAACATGTTGCTGCTGTTGCTCTTGTAGCTGCTGCTGCTGCTCCCCTTTTGTTAAGCCTGCAACTGGCAACTTGCAACATGCATCTTATTTTTTTGATCTTGGCGCTGTAAATTACACGCCCAACAGCCGCAAACAATTGTTGTTGGTTGTTCGGTTCCCTCAGCGTTGGTGATGCAAATTATTGCTATCTATCTTGCTGTCAACAACACAATAATTGTTGCCAACATTTGATGTTGCTGCCGTTGCTTGTCATAATTTTATTGCTGCCGCCGGGCAAGCTCTAAACTTCTTGGACCAATTACAGTGAGGCATAGTTTGAAGGAACCTCAGATAGAACAAGAATTAGCTAACACTTTATTAAGATCTTTTTTAGTCTTAGTTTAAGGTATTAAATAATAATATTAAGTTTGAGTTGATAAAGAAATGTTTATTAGAAATATTTATGGTTAATTTTTAAAGAATTTAACAACACTGAAAATATTTTGATTTATTTTATTTATCTCCTTGAGAAAACATCTTTTCCTTTTATTCTTTCTTTTACTAAAACCTTTTAATTTGCTGATGAGTGTAGTTAGTTTTCTAAACCCTAAGAGCCATTCACTTTCGGATTCCCAAGACCATCTCGAAATAAAAGCATAATTTCGCTTTCCTCGGAACGATAATAATAAAGCCAAGCTTTATGAACTTTTTGCGCACTAGGATCGTCGGATTCCTAGAAAACGTCGAAAATGTGGAAAGCAGGGGCAAATAATGCCCCACGATCCTCATCCGATCCGATCGCGAATGGGGATTGGGGGAATAGGGGAATAAGGGATTGGGGATTGGAGGAGATTGGGGACTGGAGAACGTGGACCACACACAACGACCGCCCAGGAGCGCAGGGAATAAAGAACATAAAGACGCCGGAGCGGCAAGAAAAACAAATAATTGCTAATTTTATGCTCGAATAAATGAGCGCGAGTGAGCCAGCAGCGGAGACGAAGGATCAAAAAAAAAAAAAAAAAAAAAAAAAATACAAAAATGGGCGCCCCACCATTCGGGTGGCATAAATTAGTGCAAGCGGGAGAGCAATAGTCGGCCAGAGGCGACGTCACGCACTATCAAACGAGAAAATGATCAATGGGGGCACCTCCACAACCACATTCACATCCATACCCATCGCACTTGTTGGCGGAAGGGAGAGAGAGAAGGCCAGCTAATATGGACCACCCAAGAAGATGACGACGAATTAAGGGCCACCCACGAAGAGACACGCCGACGCTCTCTTGCTTGCTCCTGTGTGTGTATTGGTGAGCATGAGGGTGCACAGAGAGAAATGAGATTAGGTTTGAGATTGTAAAAATGGTATTTTATCGCTTCGATCTTGAAAGTCATAAAATATATGGTATAAATATAAAGTTAGATCAGACAGTTCTTATATTTTTATGATACCTTTATTTTCATCCAATCAAAATGCTTATGTAATTTTTTTCAGTGTTTAAAATCATGTGTTTGGGTAAAAAGACCTTTGAAACTTCAGTTTCAGAGGGAGAACCAGAGCAGATAATTGAAATATGTACAACTTGAACATGTGCGGTGAAGTGGGCTTAAATAAATATCAATAAAACAAAAGGGGCTGTAACCCGCCCATGTAATGTAAACAAAATAAAAAAGGGTAAAAATATTTATACATATATTATCAGGCATTTTTAATAAAGTAAATAGTTAAACTGTCTATATTCATAATTACTGGTTCTTTTAACTTATAAAAAACAAATAATTTATTTATTATACAATATATATTATTTAATTAATATCATAACATTAACATTAAATGAAATTAATAATTATTTTTATTAACTATAAATGTAAAAGAAAAATGCTTTTCTCTGCGTAAACTATTTTCATAAAATCAGAAAGCTTAATTTTCATTTTAAAGAATTAAGGTGTTATTTAAAATTTAGAATCCGTTGCGAACCATTTTGTAGAAATCAGTTGGGTTTGTGTATTCGCTAAAAACAAAACGCAAGTTCCTCACCAAGTATTTTCATAAGGTTATCAATAATTTTGTATTTAGTAGCAAGCCAGCTTTGGTCAGACTGGCCGTCCTCTGGTGCAGCGTGGTTGTGCAAATTTCGACTTTATTCTTAGTTTTGAGTTGTTAAATTCCCGTATTCCGCTCGAAGATGCCCCCGAAAAAGGCTCCGCCAGGTCCTAGCAAGAAGACAGAGCAGAAGAAGAAGGACAAAGTCATTGAGGTAGGCTGCAAATCTGAAAAGCCGCTGGAAAGGCCCCCTCCCCAGATACCTTTCTACAAAAAACCTGTGATGTGGAAACCCGGCGGGGAGAAATTCAATATGATTCAGTTAACTAAACGTATTTTATCCTATTGACAGGACAAAACTTTCGGGCTGAAGAACAAAAAGGGCAACAAGCAGCAAAAGTTCATCCAGCAAGTGCAGAAGCAGGTGCAATCCGGTGGACAGCATCCTCGGCAGGATGGCGACAAGCGCAAGGAGGAAAAGGACAAGAAGCTGGCTGAACAGCGCGAGATGGCCCTGCTCTTCAAGCCGGTGCAGACCCAGAAGGTCGACAAGGGCACCGATCCCAAGTCGGTTGTTTGTGCCTTCTTCAAACAGGGCCTTTGCACCAAGGGTGACAAGTGCAAGTTCTCTCACGATCTCTCACAGGAGAACAAGGTCGAGAAACGCTCAATCTACGTGGACATGCGTGACGAGGACGATCCGATGACCAACTGGGACGATGCCAAGCTCAAGGAGGTGGTTGAGAAGAAGAGCTCCGGTGAAAAGCAGCGTCCCACCACGGATATCGTGAGTATACTGTCTAAATAGCCCATGGAAATCCTAACTGTCTACTCTTTCTCCTGCAGATCTGCAAGTTCTTCTTGGAGGCCGTGGAAAAGTCCAAGTACGGTTGGTTCTGGGAATGCCCTAATGGCGGCAAGTGCATCTATCGGCACGCCTTGCCAGCCGGCTATGTGCTGAAGCGTGACAAGAAGAAGGAAGAGAAGCCCACGGAAATCTCGCTGGTCGATCTGATTGAGAAGGAGCGCGCTGCTCTGGGCCCCAACCAGACTCGAGTCACCCTGGAGTCCTTCCTTGCCTGGAAGAAGCGCAAATTGTCTGAGAAAAAGGCCAAGCTGGTCGCCGAGGAGGAGCGCAAGAAGAACGACTTCAGCAAGGGCAAACAGTTCGGCATATCGGGTCGTGAGATGTTCAGCTTCAATCCCGACCTGGTCGACGATGGGCCAATGGAGGAGGGTGATGCTGCCTTCGATATTTACAAGCGCGAGGACGATGACGACGATAACGCCGTCGAGTTCAAGGAACTTGATCTGGCCGCTCTATCGCTGGCCGCCCAGGAGGTTGACGGCTCGGGCACCATTGCCTCTACCACTCGACTACTGGATCAGGCAACGGAAGCAGCAAAAACCGCCGCTGCCGAAGATGCAGCGGCCGATGAGGATGGCGCTTCTTCATCTGCACCCGCCAACGATGCTGCCCCCATCAACAAGGATCTCTTTGTTGATCTGGCTGGCGAACTGGATGATTTAGATTTGGAGGATGAGGACGATGACTAGTCCTCCGAGTATTTTGTTTGAGAACGAGTTCATAAAATGATTTCTGCCTTTTAGCTACCTTCAATTAATAAAGTTGTGGCTTTCAATTGTTGCATTTCTGGAAATGAATCGCTGTCTGTGTCTAGAGCTTAATATGAAGAAGATGAACCCAAATTTTCAGTTTTACAATAACATTTTTGATTTTATTACATAAATTGAAAATTAAAAGAATTGCTTAAATCATAAAACTACCAAAAGCCTGGTGGCAGAATTCCTACGGCCTGAGGAATCTGCCGCTCGCGTAGGAACTTGGCCAAGAGCATTTCCAGGCGCGTCTTTGGACCGCCTTCGTCATAGGCCGCCAACTGAGGCATATAGATATTCTGGATGTAAACAAGAAGTTTTACGAACTGCTTGCCATAGGTTCGCCACAGCTCGAAGCCGAGCGTTTGCAGGATCTCCATGATCATGGTGGCACTAATATCGGGTAATGGCTTCACATTCACCATGTGGGTTAGCCAGACCCAGCCCTCTTCCAGTTCAAAGCATTGATCATTTCCGGCTGCCTTGCGTCCTTGAGTAATGATCACGGCTGCGTAGAGTCGTGCAATTCCCGTCTGGCGCTTGAGATACATGTCTGGCTTCTCCAACTCATTCTTTTCCGACAGCCGATATCCTATGGTCTTCAGATACTGCTCCGGAGTCTGTCCCGGCTGCTGGGGTATCACATAGGGCACCAGGAATGGCGACTCTTTGTACATGTAGGCAAGGAAAACCTTTCCAAAATCAGGCAGCAGTTTCCAGAAAGTCACAATAACAGAGGCAAAGGGAAAAGCCGCTTGAGGATTACTGGATATAGCGGTCTCCGTTTGACTAACAAACTTCTTGGCCATCAAAAGCATGCAATAGTCCCGCGCAAGAGGATGATCGTTGATAGTAATAGAAGCTCCATTCATCACTTTAACAGGCTGCCCAGCAAAGAAACTGTAAAGCTTGTCAAAGTTCTGTGACAGATGCTGTGGGCTGACCGCTGATATAGCGTTGAGGGGCAAATTGATGGCTCTCTGGCAGCCAGTGCGATATTGCTTCAGCGACTCTTCCGTTTGCAGTGGCTTCACGGCATCCACTTTGGTCTGATACAACGACAGGATTTCGTTGTAGAACTTTAAACGGTCTGGGTGGACACAAGAAGAAGTTGTAGCAGTTGCGTCTGGTGGCACGTCTTGCGATTTTGGCTCCGAGGGAATAGGAACTTTGGCAGCCTCTGCTTTGGCAGCTTCTGCCTTGGCAGCCTCTGCCAGTTGTTGCTGTTTCTCTTTAGCTTCCGTCTCTTCCTTCTCCCGCCGCTGCTTCTCTTCATCCAGTTGCTTCTGGCGTTCCTCTTCCAACTTCTTAGCGGCCTCCATTTTGAGCTGCTGCTGAATTTGCTCAGAGAATTCGGCCAGCTGCTTGATGATTTCCAGCTCCAAGGTATCCAGGCTCTTGCAGCACTCCTCAGCCTTGATGATTGAGCAGAGGTACTGACTTTGCATCTCGCACTTGCCCATTTTCACGGTGCTTACGAGATGTTCGAATTTTTGTCCCAGTTCCTTAAGCTGTGTGTTTTGGGTGGAGCAAACCTGGACCGTTTCCTTGTCCAGGGAGAGCAGTATCCTGGCAATTCCCTCGTACTTCTGATTAAATCTTCGTTGGCAGCGAGACACGCCTTCCAGGGCTAGTTTGTGTAGCTTCTGGTCAGTCTGTTGGCGCAGGGCCAATTGCTCGCGTTGCTGGGCCTCCAACTGGGCCGTAGTCATTTGGTCAGCCTTTTGGATTAATAGGATATCATTGCGTTCCCGCAGTGCCTTTTGTTGCAACTGTTCGCGCTGCCGCTCATCCTCTTTTTGTTGGGACTCACGCGAGAGCCGCAGGGCATCCTGTTTATCTTTGAGGGCCTTCAGCTGCTGGCGGACACATCTCTTGCCCTCCTCCTCTAGCTCACGCTTCACAATGCTGGCATTAATAGCCTGTGCGTCGGGAAAGCAGGATATACTGGGTTCTGAGTCGGTCATCGAGAGGGCCTTTAGTTGCTGCAGAACACAACCCTTGGCCTCCTCTTCTTTCTCCCGTGTCACATTTTTGGCGTTGTTAGATTTAGTGTCATAAGAAGAAAACGTATTTGGTTCTGAGTCCACTGAGTTCTTTTTCGATGTGGGAGACGCCTTTGAACTGCTACCACTGTCCTCCACCCACAACGGCTCCCGATCCTCACCCAAAGTCCTTCCCGTGCACTCCTTCGATGTCAAAGCGGCGTGATGCATCGTCGTTTTTACCTTCATCCAGTCTAATGCCTGCACCCGCATCATTTCTTCTATGCTCTGCAAGAACTTGTTTAGCTTTAGTCCTAAAATTGTTTATTGTTACTCTTACCATTTTGACTTATTTTATGACTATAAACTAATTTCTTTAAAAATGAAATAATGTTATGGTATTTCCTCCAATCGATATCGAGATGGCGTTGTAAGAAGACCATCGATGGCTTATTAGTTTACGATAGTATGGCGCCAATATATCGGAAAAATTTTCAAATATAATATGTTTGGTATATATAATTTTAAGTTTAATAAATATTAAGTAATTAGTAAAAATTAATAATTACATCAAAACTATTTCTTATAAATTATAAAATCTTTCTGCTATTAATTTGACACAACTCGAACTGCTGACACGTTATGTCTTCACTCTCATTTCGCAGACAATCAGCTGTCGTTATTGTGAATGAAACATGAAATATGGTCTACTTACATTAGGTTTCTGATTTACTCCAATATAAACTTCAGTTTTAAATTTATAACCAAGATATAATTGAATATAATTATAAAGATGATCATACCTTAATGTAGATATAAATTTTACAATCATTTACTTTTTAATAGAGGTAAACATAATTTGCAGTGGTTGACAGGACAATGTTAACAAGTAGTATGGACACTTAAAAGAACTTGACGCCGTGGCTGCCATCCATTTCGATCAGCTCACAACGACCCTTCTCCTCCAGCAAGCGTAGTGCACTGAGCAGCACCGCCTCATCCACTCCGTGAAAGTCTAGCTGGGTGGTGTTCTCGCCGGATGCAATCTCGTAAAGCGTACAGATGGTATTCGTCTGACCCGTTTCCAGTACCCAGTCGTACACCATGTTGCCGTACTCCTCAAGGGTGTACCAGTACACCTGCCATTCCTGACGACGCTTGTCTAGAGGATTCGCATGGCCAGTTTGCTCCAGTTCACCCAAAATAGCCAGAACAAGCTCCGGGGAGAGACGGCGCTTCAAGGATTCGTTGTGGAATAGCGGCGAGTTCTGGTCGCCAATGCTTAGGGTAAACTTATTCGTGTGCCTGAGGTATTTGAGAAAGAGATCTGTCCAGACCTTCAGTTGCTGCTGCCTGGTTTCTTCATGGGGCTGCAATCTAAAACTGGGATTAACCGAGTCCTGGGTCATTTTATAGTTAATACTCACGTGAAGAAGGGTGGAAAGGTATACTCCCAGGGCCATTGGAAATCTGTCATCTTGATTTACTACGAAATAAACATTTGTTTTGCTAATGATGGGATGGATTACTAATGGTTCAGAGTGACCGTTTACAATCAATGCAAAAAACTCAAGGAAATTAAAAAAAAAGAAGTGGGGAATGTTTAAAAAAAGTTCGTTACTTTTTTTGATTACAGAATTTACATTTTATATGGGACGAGATGGACAAACTTATCATATATTAATATGGAAATAATCCAATGCATAGAAGTGAAATATTTTTATATACAAATATATTTTTCCATCTCTTTAAACAGAATACGTAAATTTTAGTCCGACATAATAACCGATTAAAAAAACACACTTATTCCATTTACAGTAAAATGCAATCCATTTCATTTATTTTGTCTTAATTAGAAAAAATTGTGTACATTAACATTTTCATCGGGCTTTTTCATAAAGTTTGATTTGGGTTTTCGGTATCGGTTTATTTTTCAGATCCAAGATTTATCAATCTTTTGAATCGATTTGATGAGGATGTGGCGACGAAAAGGGGATTGCAGTGGCTTGCATCATCAATATACATTCACATATATATATATTCTCGTATCTGATATATCTGGTTTAATATAAGTAAAGTACTAGGAGGCGCAACACTATACATTCAATATCTGCTATTCCGTAATCCTTGGTTTTTTTCCATTCTCGATTTTATACACTAACTTGTGTGGTATGCTGCTGGTGCTTAATTACTAACTTTATCGATTGTGTGCTTATGGATTTTATTTCTTTTTTTCAAGTTGAACTTGCTGATCGGGTCAAATGGGATCGAGCTAGGTCGGCAGCCTCTGGAGCTTCCATGGCTTGGTATGTACGACAAATAGTATATATATGGTAATCATCTTGTTTTGCACTTTATTTTATTTGGTTTTTGTACACATGCGTGAAATTCTAGAGAGAATGCCATTCAGGGATTAGGGATAGTACAGCTTAGTGTGTGAGTGTGTGGATTTTAGCTGGCTAGTGTTTAAAGAGTTTTCAGTTAGTTCCTAGTTAACAAGTGAGGTTTGGTTGAAATCTTTCTTTGCTATATAGGTATTTCCGTATGCTGATCTATCGGTTTCGTTTTCGGTTTTTGGTGCCTGCAATGCAATTTTTCAAGACATTCACATAGCATTCGATTTATTTAATATCTCGTTATAAATAATAAAGCATTCTACGAGCTGTCCCTTTCAAAATATATAAAATAAATGCCCCTATATGTGTGCTTAAAGCATCCTATATATTGATGAAAATGTACACTTGAAATGCTTCGCTCTGGTTCGCTTACAAATTAACAGAAATGCAACAACGAAATGCTATTATAATTCCCTCGAAATCATGTCTTTACACTCGTTTCGTAATTGGAAGGAATATTTGGTTCACAGGTGTAAAACGGCGGCAGTTGGATAGCAAAAAATTACAAAATGTCAAAACGTAGGTTTTCTTTTTGGTTTATGAAACACGAAACAAATCTTAAGCCTGTGTGTCTATATATCTATATATATATATCTTACGAGCATAATCAGCGAAAATCAAAAAACAATTGATTCCTTACAAAATACATAAAACATAATTCGCCTGCATTTCTATATATCATTTACATACAGTTCTCAGATCTTATACATATACATCCATATATATACTTGATTTTCCGGTTGTTTAAATTATTATTTAAGTATTTAAAAATGGCATGTGGTGACATGTATTACAATACATTATACATATATGGTACATACATTTATATTTAATATCGATTTCCAAGTTGGTATAAAATGCATGCAAGTCGAAGGGCCCAATCCCAATCCCAATCTCACATCCCACATACCTAATATTTTGGTTAAGCTTGGGTCCTCCCTCGTGTGTGGGATGGATGTGTGCCTATGGTCTAGGTTTGAGTTAATTCATATACATTCATAAAGTTTTCGGATTCTCGAATCACTGCACGTATAGCATGACAGCATGTTGTTTCACACAATGCTCCATATTTCGACTAACGACTAATACTATGTATAGCTAGAGATCCTAAGCTACAATTTTTGCCTAAGACTGTTTTCGGGGAGTTGCGTTATCTGTTCACTTGGGCAGTGGTTCCAGATAACATCGCACCGTGTTGTTCTCATCGAGCATGGCCGATAGGTGGCGCTGCTGATGATGCGGAGGATGCTGATGGGGATGTGGATGGGTTAGCTGGTGAGGATGTGGATTGGGGTTGCTGTGTGATGTATGCGACGACGATGATGTGGTGGACTGTGGTGACAGTTTCTGTAGCTGCTGACGCTTCTGCGCTGGCGTCTGATTTGCCGGCGGCAGCGGTGGTCCGGAGTTACCATGACCGAATAGCTCATTCACAGCCAGACGACCGCCTGGCGATTTGGCATTCAGTACTTGCTGCTGCTGCTGCCGGTATGCGCCACGCATGGAGCCCTCACCAACGCCGCCGCTAACCCCAAAAACCGCACCGTTGTGCTCGGGGTGCGGACCTGCTCCTGGCGCCGATCCTGGAGGCAAGGCCCCGCCATTTTTGCGCTGCTGACGTCTGTAAATGGGAAGGGATATTAGCATTAATAAATGAAGATAGGAAGGGTATATCTGGATAAGGTTGGGCAAAACAATAGGTGTACTCACTGAAACCGCCGCTTAAAGTCCTCGTCCTGCATCGCCATCAGGCGACGCATCCGCTCATCACTCTGTGGTGGCAATCCATGAGCATCGTCTTCCAAGTCGCTCTCGTCCTCATCCTCATCCTCATCACAGATGTTGCCGTGCAATTGCTCCGCGGCTGTTGCCTCCTCATCCTCTTCCTCGTCTTCGTCATCGTCGTCATCATCAGCCGTGCAGCGCCTAGCTGATCTTTGCTGGGCCAGCTGTTGCTGTTGCTGCTGTTGCTTTTGGAGCTGCTGCTGTTGGCTCCTGGACGAAACACTGCCGCCACTGAGACTTCCGCCGCCATACCGACTTCCACCGGCAGCCACTGCCGCTCGCATATTGTTGAAGACACCGGTGCCAACGCTATTATTGTACACCTCGTCCACATCAAAGTCACCCACCTCGTAGTGCTGCACATCCGAGTTGCGATTACTGAGGATCTCCTCGTACACCGGCCCACTATCCGCGCCGCCGACGCTGCCCTGGTTGTAGTAGGCATCGCCCATGCCCAGATCACAGTTGGAATGCTTATTTCTAAACTGGCGCTGCATGAACTCCTGCTGGTACTGCGCCATATGTGGCGGTGGAGCGGGAAGCTGTTGCTGGCTACCAGCTCGTCGTTGCAGGTGCAACAGATGAGCATGTTGCTCAGCCTGCTCCTCGTCTGAGGAAAGTTGCTGCTGCTGCTGTTGTTGTTGGTGATGCTGCTGCTGCCGACGTAGCTGTTGCTGCTGGTAGTAGGCTGCCGCATTGCCAGTGGGTGGGTCTAAAGCCTCCGAATATTGCGGATAGCCGGCTTGCTGACCAGGCTTGGTCTTTTTGTACGAGGGATAAAAGAGCACCTGAGAGGCAGCTGCAGTTCGACTATGCAGTGATCCACTCGGCGAGGCGGGAACTCCACCTCTCTTCTTTTTGCCATGACCGCTATTCGGCTTCTGTGTCCAGTAAAATACCTCGTGCGCCTGCTGCGGTGAGGAAGCCGCAGCTCCAGCATTATTATAGTACTCCCGCTGGGCCTTCATTCCTCCTGTTCCGGTCGGTGGCTGCTTCCAGCTGTAGTAATCTGGCTGATGATAGTACGACTCGCCCAAAGGTCCTTGTTGCTGCTGCTGTTGTTGCTTGTGGGCGAAGATTAGGTGTGTGGATCCGGCCGAACTGGTGGGTGATGCATGACCGGTGGAGCGAAGAGTGCTGCCTCTTTCGAGCACTACATGACCACCAAGTGTCTGCGGTGGCGCCTGCAGCGTGCCCGTCATTAGACCACTCTTAAGAGTCCTCCTTTGCTGGTTTTCGTTTAGTTCACAATCTGAGCTGGCTCCCATTATTGCATCTTCAGTAACCGGAACTCCCGCCTGCTGTTGCTGCTGGGGATCATCGTGTGCTTCCTCGCTCACTCCCAGTGGCAGCTTAGGCTTCTTAGATGTGGAAACGCTGCACAGCGTCCCAGCTGCTGGTCCATTACCCGCAACAATGCCTGAGGATATCGATGTCTTGGAGCAGCGCAGGCACTTTGGCAACCAGGCATGCTGTCTCACATACTTGCGATACTCGCGCCGGATCTTCTCGTTCTGGATGCAGTGGAATACGAAAATATAGAGTCCCAACAATGTGTTGAAGCAGATGAAGCAATAGCCATATACATCAGCCGTATCTTCGTCCATTTTGGCTCCTCGCAAATAAAAGTAGGCGGAGCACCAAACAGCGCTGAGCAGTAAGAGGAATACAAATGAGCAGCGTATGTCGAAGCTGAGGGTTAGAAGAGATTAGAGATGAGTTTCCGGAGTTTATATAGGTTTTCGAAGATCGCTTACCGTACGCTAGCGAGGCGGGTGTGTTCCTTGGTCTTCAGACCCGTGCGACTCTTGCGGCACATGATGATCCAGGACAAAAATGTATAACCAATGGCAGCCTAAAAAAAAAAGTAGATAATTGAAATGATAAGTTTAAAAGAATATATTTTAATTCCCCCCTGTACTTACCACAAAGAAGATGAGCACCGGTATCACAAACGTGGCATAAAACAAGGCATTCGCCTCCATCAGCACGCAATAATCGTTCTGGGTATATGTGCTGGGATCGATGACCAGTGAGATGGCCACAACGGTCAACGACAATCCATAGGATAAGAGGTAATAACAGTTCACCTTGGGCGTCTGGTCCACCTCCAGCAGAAGCTCATCGGAGGTGAGGGTGGAGTACGAGTGGAAGGCTGAAGAGGCGATTTTTAAGTTAGAGCTGAAAAGTGAAGGCAAAATAGGGGCATCTTACCTTCGTAGCAAAACCAGGCGGTGCCGGATAATATGGCACAGTGGAGGAAAATGGTTATGAAGCCGCAGAAAATGCTTGTTTCGGTCTGTTCAATGCCCAGTAGAAAGAGCAGCTCGATGGCCAGCAGGCAAAGGTAAATGCTGGTATAGATCGAGGTGCGGGCAGACTGGATTGGAAAGTGAAATAAAGTCAGAGAAAGGAAAGTTTAGATACAATTTAGAGAGTTTGGTGAAATTTCTTTAAAAGCAGAACCAGCAGAAGGGGCCTAAAGATTTTATATGTAACGTCTTCTTTTGAAGAAATAGATTTCGGTTTTCGATAGTAAAACTTAATTTAGGATTTGATTTACAATAATTTTGGTGGGTGGTGGTGAAAATCCAAAGACTAAGAGTAATACGATTAATAAAGAATATTATACGCATTAAATAAAACATTGAACATGACACGAAACAAGCACAACATATAGAAAACAAATATATATATATACAAACTAAATGGGCAAACACAAAATGCAATATTTACAGGACAAAATTAGCAACATTTGTAGATTTTATTAATTAATTAAATACAAACGAAAATCAGAAATGTTTTAAGGTATTAAATTGTACGATGTCTAAAAGTTAAATTTGTTAAACAATGAATGCACATTAAGAGGGGTTAGGATATCTCACAAATGATTAAATAATTAAGTAAAACATGCCAGAGTGATGATTTCTAATAAAACGGAAGAATGAGTAAAACATATATTGGTTTAGGGAAAAGTGCGCTAAACTTAAGCTATGACAAATTACTACGAAACATAAATATAAATCAAGAGTCTTCGCTTGTAAGCTGCAACTGGGAAGCAATGAGCAACCTAAGATGAGTGTCTTGACCTCTTCCAGAGGGATCATCGCTTCCCGGCATAGCTTTTTGAGTCTTATCTGTGTGTCCTATCTGAGAGAGAGAGTTCCATTAACAATTTGAATTACTTAAGCATTATATCACATATGTCTCTCTTCGATCATAAATATGTAAGTCTAGAAAGCCTAGCCTAGCCTACAATTTGTGTTTGTTTATCTTTCTCTTTTTTCACCACCACCACCACTTATATTGTAAGTCATCCATGTTGGCCTGCATGATGATGTTGTTTGTGTTGTCCAATACATTGCCATCCACATTTAGGTTGTGATTGCGGTGCGGATGCTGCTGCTGCTGCTGTTGGCCATGTTGGTGCTGCTGGGCATGTTGCTGCTGCAGATAGTTGTGGCTAATGTTGAGGTTGTTACTGGCATTGCTGGCCTGCACGGCATGTTGCTGCAGTGCAGCAGCTATTGAAGCGGCAGCAGCTGCAGCCGCCGCTGTTTGCTGACCATGTTGATGCAGATTTAGATTCAAGTTGTTCATACCATGTTGCATGTTGCGTTGGGGCTGATTGGACAGTACCACAGCAGCAGCAGCTGCAGCAACCACTTGTTGCTGTTGCTGTTGTTGCTGCTGCTGGACATTATAGTTCAGATTATTGCGATGCGAATTGCGAATGGAATTGTGTTGGATAAAGTTTGTGTTCCCATGACTGGGCGTTGACACATTGGTCTGACTGGTGGGCGTGGTCAGGGTCAAGGACTCATGGGTCTGGTCTCGTATATTGTTCTGCTGGCGCCTGCTTCCCGCCCGCTGATGCGGCAGCGGATTTGAGCCGTTTCTTACCTTCACAAAGACCCCATTGAACAACTTTAGTGTCAGCAGAGCAATCACAATGAACACCACGCAAATGGCGATGCTGATGTAGATGAAGATGCGCATGTTGCCATCGAACATGGTGAACAGCGAGTGCTGGTGCTCATCCACCACGTCCATGAGAATGGCGAAGTTGGTCAAGTGGTTGCAACTGCAGACGCTGTGCGTGCGATTCGTGGACTCCAAACTGCAACCATTGGCAGACCAGGCACTAGAAAGAAAATTCAATTTGTAAATATACCCCACATTATCTAGTAAAAATGTAATCTCTTACTGGTCAATATAGTTCCAGAACACACAGGTGGGATTCGTAACATTCTCTGTCTTCAGATGCTTTAGCGTCAGGGTAATGGGCTGAGAGAGCTGTATATGCCGCCCTTTGCCCAAGCTGGCTGAGATCACCTTGCTGTTCAGGATGCGAAGGCGTTGCTGGATCTCTCCACCGCTAACATCGCTGTCGTTGCCAAGGATTGCTGTATTGCGAACTACGGAAGAATTAGGGTTAAGCTAACCTAGCAAAGAAGTGAAGTTCTATTAGACTTACCGTAGCTGCGAGAACTCTTCAGATCGAAGTGGTCATAGCTGGGTTTCAGGATGGATTCCAGACGATCAAAGGCGGCAAAAACAATGCGCACCAGGCCGCCTTCACTGTTATCGATGAGAGCGGCTCGTGGCAGCTCAATTCGATCGGAACTCAGGGGCCACTGATCCGAGTCCGGGAAGACAACGCTGGACTGAATAGTCTTGGTTTCCAGAACTTTTACAGAGAGCACTAAGTGAGGGCAAGATTATAAGTATAAAGAGTAAAATTAGGAAAGCATTAAACACTTACATATATTCTTTACTTTTTGCACCACACTGCGCTCCCTGATAATGGTATCCGCCAGCAGGAAGGCATTATATTCCAATCCAGTAAGCAAGGATGTGGCCACACGCATTTGGTCCTCCGGATTTAGATCTAGCCACGAGGACAGCTGCGACTCGTCCAACAAGTTGGAACCAGTTTTGACCACGCAATGCAAAAGCTCCATAATCATGGCCTCGCGCTGTCGCTGATCTGGGAATGTTTCCTTATCGTGAAGCATCTTCTCAGACACTGTTTGTATGATCTTTGTCGTGACCAACATGTCACCGCCGTAGAGCGTCTTGCTACTGGTTACCTCGGACATATCGTTGGCAATGGATATCAGTGAGGAGTCTCTCTGATTGACACGCATTTCCAGATTGTTCAGCCAGAGACTGCGGCACTGTGTCAGATCTGGGGTCATGGGATGCCACGTTGGCTCAAAGTTGCGCAGGCGCTGGTTCACCTTGTGGGCCATGCTTACCGGCGGTTCGCAGCTGCTGCTGTTGTGCAGGCAGTCGCCTCCACTTGGCGCTGGAGTTGTGGAGCTCGGATCATCATCGTACTCATCGTAACCAGAGTCCGGCATCCGCTTCATCAGTACACAACGCCACTTGGCTATTCCGGCAGCTCCACCAGGACAGGGCTGTACATTCACATCACCTACACGGGTCATGTTCCAGAAGAGATTCCTGGCATGAGTGGGCCCGCAGAATAGCTTGGACTCATCATCGCCTCCGGACATTCCAGCTGCATTCAAATTAATATTGTTGATAGTTCGCACAACGCTGCCATTTCCAGAGGCTGCGGATCCACTTGCAGCTGTGCCCGGTGGGCGATTGGGTGAGCTCTTTGTGGTCAGTAGGGTGCCATCATCAGTTCCGGATCCTCCAACCCCCGTAAGGATACGGGTGTTCGACGGAGCTGTGGCATTTCCAGCAGCTGGAAGTTTACTGCTTGGTTTAGTGGGTGCGGCAGTCTCTTCGCCATGGTGGTTGTGATGGTGATGCACTTGAGGTGGCGGTGGAAGGCCGTCGTGGCGACCAGCCGGATGCTTGGTGGTCGTAGTGGAGGTGGCAACACCCTTTAAACGTCCGCCTCCTATAGATGCGGTGCTGCTCGAAGGCGTGGAGTGGGTTACAGCCGTGTGTTGGGACGGTACATTGAACAGTCCAGGATTACCACTGATTCCCACCACTCCAGGCAGTGTGGGTAGTCGCGGTGGTGGCGGAGGTCCACTTCCGACTCCAGGTGGATGGATTAGGCCACTGCCATTGCCAAAGATCGGCGGACCATTGCTAAGAACCCATGGCGGAGGACTGGGCCTGTTGGTCGTCGTCGAGGTTTGGGCAGCACTGATGCACTGGTAGTGCGCCTCCAGATATTTATGGGTCCCCGGACAGGGATCTCCGAACATGCTCGTGGCTGCCAAAACGCCGCAGCTCTGTTTGTGGGCACATCTGGAAGATGAAAAAGGTATTTGGTTTTTAATAAACTTCTAAGAACTGAAACTAATAGGTTACAACATAAAATGATATATAATATATGTATAGAAAAGTAAATTCTTAAACCTTACCTTGAATTTAGTACGCTGAGTGACTTGGGAAACATGCAATTAACACTCCACTCGACATTCCCGTGGTCATTGCAGATGGTTATTGAGAAGCGTCCATAGTTGGCTCGTATCAGATTGATCACATCGCCGGGATCACATTCGATGGTCAGTTTCTTACCTTCGCAGGCGTAGGCGGTTTGGTATTTGGAAACTGCAAGGCGAACGGTTCATAAGTCAAGGGATAATAGACAGGGTAGGAGATTATAAGGACATGGGATATATAATATATATGGCATATTTTATATAGAGAGAAAAAAAGATTAGTGGCGATGCGCTGGTTGTTGTAGTTTGGTTTGGTTTGGTTTTGATGGTGTACCTGCAATGACACTTACGTTCTAACGATATATGCACATAGGATATAGATATGGTATATGGTTGGTAGCATGATACGCTTTTACACTGCCTGGGATATACTTAGTATATGTTGTGGTTGATTTGTGGATTTTGGTGGGTCGTTAGCGATGGATGCTTGCTAGCAAGTAGAATAGTAGTCATAAATACCAAATCCTGCCAAGTCCAGCTCACTAATCTTTGCTCGTCCATCATCCAGGATTAATGGGCCAAGATCATGTGGGAGTATGTAATAGAGATTTTACACTGGAATGGGAAACTATGATGGATGAGTATAAGGAAAAGATATAAGGGGATGTATTAGGATGTTTTATAATATGTTTTTATTTTGTATCTTCATCTTCATTTGATTTAAAATGATTTATTTTCTGATTTAAATTAATTAATTAATGAAATTGTGTAATAATTTATTAAAATGAACTCTAGATGATGACCCACTTTCAGGTCAAGCAGTACATACCTCTTATATATTTCCATTTCGAAATTTTCACATGGAAGTCGGGCTTGAAAAGACCATTCAACTTATCTGAAAAGTAAGAGAAGACATAAGATAATTGTTTACGTATTGACTACATAGGCAAACACGAAGAAGCAGGCAAACGACAAACAAAAGATAAGAAAAGGGAAAGAAAGAAAAGGGAGCCTAAAAATACACACCCTTCATGTGGTTGTAGTTGATGCATCGCCATCGATTCGTGGACAGAACAAAGACTCGTTTTCTTTGTACACCCGATGCACACTCTATACATATCTACACATCTATATATAGATGTATGTGTTCATATAGAGAAAAGTTGCTGCAGCTGCGCTTCAAGTTTTTTCTTGCCCCGTGGAGCCCCATTTTTGATGGGCTTCTTTGTTCGGACTCCACATACTTTTTTCACATTAGAAATAGTATATGTTTTATGAAATTCACGACATTTACACATTTTGCGACTTGAAAAACTGCCTTTCTGTTGATTTTAATAGATATTTTATAGTTTTTACGGCAATTTGCTGACGTTGTTCTTGTGAATGGAGAAGTTTTCAAAAAAAAACTTGGTTTAAGTCGTTCTTTTTTCCTTAATCTTTTCACATTTGATTAGCGGGTTTGTTACTATAAGTTTTTACTTTACAATAGGTAATTATTTCACTTATTTTCACTGTTGAATATTTCTTGAATTAAAGACCGTCGTTCCTATTCGTTTGAGAGCTCGATTCACAATCAACTTTCTTTTAGAAAAATTCTGTATACTTGAATGTCTAGTTGAAATCAGACAGCATTGCCAGCACAAAAACTGCTAAGTGGGACTGCCAACTTGTTGATTGAATGGGCGCGTAGTTCAAATTGGTCATCTCAGAAAGATTTACACAGTTTTTAAAAAAATGATTAATCTAAAATAAAAAAGAAGATATTAAAAGATATGAATATACATATAAAAGGTAAATAGGTATATTTATTTGATTGTAGAATCAAAATTAGTTTGTTAGGCACACTTCTTTAAGTTCAAGATCAGCTTCCAAGTTCATAAATTCTTATCTTCAGTTGACTTAGCATTAGCTTTTGCTTCCTGATTTGCACTCAGCTTGGGGAAATGCATTTCGCTTGCGATTTCAGTTGAATTTTGATTTCACTGAGTGCGGTTTGGAAAAATAAACCCGGAATGGGTTACAGTATTACAATAAAACTAATCATTATGCTGCCCTTAGTCTATTCCCTTCAAGTTAGTTCAAAAACAAAGTCTACCAAAGCTCCCTTAAGGGAGGTTTTACCCACTAATGCTACACTAATTGCAAATGTGACAGTGGCTCCTGTTCCGGCAAAACTAGCTGAAGTCCATATCGATCAACATAAAACGATTCGAATAAGTAAGGATGATCTGGACGATCTCCTAGATGTTTATATGGGTAAAATAGCTGAGAGCGCCGCTACTATTAAGGATAAGGAAAATGAGATAAGCCAACTACAGACCAAGGATCAAACGGATGACGAGCTCCTCCAGAAGTTTGAGAATCTCACGCAAGTGTGTAGTGCCCAGAACATTTCACTCACGAATGTAATCAAGGAAAAAGATGAAAAGATCAAGGAACTAGAGCAAAAAGTGAAGATATATGAAACGCGAATGAAAAGAAAGCAGCACGTTTTGACAGAATTGAGAAAGTTAAATGAATCTAGTGCTTTGCTAATCGATCATTTCAAGGGAAAGGCTACCTACTTTGAAAGAAAGTTCCGGGAGAAGAAGGATGACCTCCTGGCTGATTGGGAGGCAGCAACTACAAGCTGTGTGCCCTTTGGTCGTTCCCCTGGAATCCACTTAATACACCTGCCAGGATTCCTGCCCTTCTTGGTTCCCTGCGAGGGACAAACTGCCGCCGGACCCGGCTGGACTTCCATTCAAAGAAGATTGGATGGTTCTGTGAACTTCTACCGGAACTGGGATGCCTACAGCAAGGGTTTTGGCAAACTTAATGGGGAATTCTTCATCGGTTTGGAGAAACTACACCGCATGACTAATTCCCAGCCTCATGAGCTGTATATCAGCATCAGGAGATTCGATGGCGAGACGAGCTATGCCCACTACGACGACTTTCTTATCGGCAGTGCAGAGGAAGGCTACGAATTGAAGCTACTGGGTCACTATCAGGGCAATGCCAGCGATGCGTTGCGCACCCACGACAAAATGAAGTTCTCGACCTTCGACCGGGACAACGATGCCTTCACGCACATGAACTGTGCGGCTCATCACCAGGGCGCCTGGTGGTATGACTTCTGTTCAAGGAGGTATGATTTATCCTATCCTCACTTTCAAAACACAAATTTTTGAAAGTTAATACATCATTGATAGAAGATATCAAATACATATATTCCACTTTAAATTGTCATTCATGCTTATCATATCAGATACGATACTATATTCATTGCATGACTAATTCCCTAAAATATTTCATATTTAAATAGATTTTTCTGTCACCCATTAAAATGATAATTTGAAAATGTGATAGTGATAACTTTATCTCTATAACAGCATAAAATATCAAAGGTTTTCCCTTACCTTAAAAAAAGTAATTAAATAAATGCAAATATGACAGTTTTTGATAAACATTTATAGATTTTTTTATTGACTTGCTTTTCACGAACTTTATAAATTTTAATTACATTAATAAAACATTTTTAGACACAAACATTGAGTAATCAAAATGATTTATAATTCAAATTTCTATTAATTTTTCACTTTACAGCAATTTAAATGGCAGATACTTCAAGGGGGAGGTGGATAATCCCCAGAGCATCTACTGGGAGCCATGGTACAGCTTTCGGTCTTTGAAGTCCGTTCAAATGCTAATACGGCCCAAAAGCCAAATGGAGCTTAAGGACCTGCCCAAGGCGAAGCGACATCCAAGATAATTACTAATTATTCGCGACAACTAAGAAAGGCCATAAAATTGAACTATATAAATCTCACTTGGTTGGCATACCTATTAATCTGTGTTACTTCACCCTTCGACACCCCCTTTCGACAGTTGATTAGATTTCGATTTTGTTTACAGCCACGGTCTTTTGGCCAGTAATTACTCCGTTACAGTTCAGTGGACGACGCTCTTGGGTGCTTTTTGTTTGGATTGGCTTGGCTCGCACACAAGTCATTGGGTGCAATTAATTTTCATTTTCCGCCGTTCTCGTAATTTGCTCTGTGTTGCAACAATTTAATGAAATCTAATTGAGTGTGTGCATTGGGCCGATAAAAATGAAATAACTCTGGGAGATTCTTTCGACTCATTCGTCACTTGCACTTTCATCGTGGCGACTGACGACTGGAGCCGCTCAATTGGAGTCAATAAACGTTCGGCAAATAAGCCAAAGGGGCGGTATCTAAATTAATATCGATTCAGCGGAAGATTTACGACTTCGGCAAAGAGTTATTCATACGTATAGTACATTCCAGTTTATCATGGAAAATACTAATTCGCACTGGTTGAAACCAGTTGCCGGCTCTTTCGACATTCTAAAATATCTTTTTTAGTTGATAAGACAGAAGTAAATTTTACAAATAAATACATTCATTAAATATACATGGCTATATATTTTTGGTTTCAATTTCAATGACTTTGGCATTCGAATCATAAACCAGTTACAAGCATTCTACAAATGGCCAGCTAATCGTCTGATTACAACGATAAGGCTTACAGACCACTTGAGTAGCAACACTTGGAGCCATTTATCAGACATTCTTAAATAGAAAATAAATAGTTTACTTAGTAATAGATTATCGATATGATACTACATCTAGACTGCGATATCGTTAAGTACATGGTAACGCATCTAACTCTATACAATTGCCTTGTAAACATTGTAAAGTGCTGAGGAGAGCCTTAAGTGGCTGAAGGTTCTACTTGTCGTCCGTTTGCCCCTCGGAGCTGTGCTCTCGCTTTTTGTGCCATCGCAGACTGGCGAATTGTGCAAATCTTTTGTTACACGGGCTGCACTTGTACTTCTTTACCGCCAAATGCAGTTCCGTGTGCTTCTTGAGGTTGCCGTAGGTGGTGAAGGTCTTGCCGCACACCGTGCACAGGTGCTTGCGGATCGCCCAGTGGGAGTTCATGTGATCAGTGAAGCGGTTCTTCTCGTAGAAACCTTTTGCACAAATCGGGCAGTGAAATGTCGACTGGTTAAGGTGCCGGCGCCGGTGGATGTCGAAGAAAGACCACGTCTTGAAGGATTTGCCGCATTGATCGCAGATGTATGGTCGCTCCCCGGTATGGGTTCGCAGGTGGATGGCCACCTCCGTGGATGTAGCGAAGCGCTTGTCACACATCTCACAAGCATATGGAAAATCCCTTCGATGCCGTCTAATATGCACCGTCAGGTTACACGGCATCTGGAAGCCTTTTCCACATAGTGTGCATATAAAGGGATGGGTGCCATCATGTGCGGATCGATGCACCTTGTACTGATCACAAGTCTTCACGAGCTCCGAGCATATATCGCAACGAAAGGGGCCTATGTTTTGGTCCAGAAACTCAGCCAGCTTAGCGTGTAGCAAGGGAACGCTACTGGATTCTCCTGACTCGGTGAGTATCTTTCGTTTTTGGGCCGAAAAGTCTTTTCTCAGTTCGAACAAGGTCTTCTCCAGCTGCTCTGCATTGTAGGATGTGTGATAGGTGCTGTTAATCTCATCCAACATTTGACTCAAAGCCTGACCACGATACGCATTCGAACGAAAGTCCGGATGCTCTACATCCCACAGAGCCGAGTAGTTGCGGTAGATCTCTACGAACTGCAGTTGGTCCTCGGAGTTGTCAAACTGTATGGAGGTGGCATCAATGAACTTTGTCTTCTGCGATGTTTCGACCACTCCAACTTTCTGGAATATATAACAAGTTAATAAACTGCTTATCCATCATGGATCAATCCAACTACCTTGCTTATCTTATTAAAGATCTGCTCTTGCAGTATGGGCTGCAGGAACTCCATTTCATCGTAGCACCACAGCTTGGGCAGATACAGACCCTTGTGCTTGATCACCATGCGCAGCTCCTTGCGATAACGTGTCCTTAGCTTTTGGATCTCATTGTAGCACTCCTCGCCGCTCAACTCGTAGTTGAGTTCCTCTTGCAACTGGACTGAGATGTCCCGGAACAGCTCTTTTTTGCAGCACCTGGTGTAGTCGCAGTGGCGTGGATTCCACAGGCATTCCAGTCGCTTGAAGGCATCCAGAATGAAGCTGAGCACCTCGTGGTACAATGTGGACTTGCTGGAGGATTCCGCATCCGTTTCGCAGGACTTTTCGCTCTCGGTGCTCTCATTGGAGATCTGAAAGGATTGCGTTATTTTTTATCTGATCTATCTAGGATCTGGTTTACTTACCTTAGCTTCCCTCTCGGCTCGCCTGTTTTTAATGATGTGCCTGAGGAAATTCAACCTGTCAAAGTACCAAAGCCGCGACTTGTACTTTTCACCAATGGCATTCATCTTGTTCAGCTCACGGCGGTATCTGCCCTTTAACTCCTTCAGCACAGAGAAGATTTCGGCTCCGGTGAGGCGCTTATGGCAGATAGCTTCCAATGGAGCAGCCAGTTCCCCGTAAACACTCCGCTTGGCATTGTATTTGTAATCGGGATGCTTGGGATTCCACAACTTCTCCGCGCGCTCGTATTCCGCCAAGAGACAGCCAACAAACTCACGATTGCGCTCCAACTCCCGACGAGTTTTCTGGAAAAGTTAAAATATGTTAAGTTAATTTACAACCCATTGCAATAATTCTCCAAATTCTAAAGTAATAAATGGCTAAGCTTTTTCATATAAATAACTTTACTGCGGGTAATTATTACTTAGCTACTTAAACTTGAAGTTGTTAAAATTATGTCGAAGGAACTGAGTTACGGAGCTAGACTTTAGGTTTAATGTCAGACTAAACATGAGATCCAAGGCCAAACGAAGGTTATCTAATATTCGAATCTAGGTTAGAGACACCCCTAATTCTTCTCAGATCTCGTGAAATCCGATTTTCTATTTACTTACCGATTGAAAATCCACGGAACTCGTTGTACTGTTCGTTGGCGAGTTGGGCGGCACTGGTGTGGGGGGCGTGGCTGGCGGGGTAAGTTCCAGAACATTCTTCTCCGGTTGCTCAATCTTTTGCTGCTCCGGTTCCTCTACCTCAACTATATCCACCACATCTACCAGGCTCTCCGCCAGAACCTCATCTTTAGCATTCTCGTTTTCCGCCTGACGAAGCTTGCGCTGCAATGCCTGCATACGAGAAATATAAATATTTCGCATAAATAAATAAATTTGTAACAGTTGCCAAGTTGAACATTGGTGGTATATCTCGGAGATAAGCTGTGCCCACATGCCACATGATCTTGCCCGGGGTTTATCGTGGCGCTGGAAATCGTACACAGAACAACACAACTGGTAAACAAAAAGGGAAAGTCTGCACTTCAGCTCCCTGGCCCTCGTCGATTTTAGACTCTAGATTCTCGATTCTCGAATATCAGCGGCTATTGGCCTTTTGTTTCGTCGTCATTGTTCTTATCGCACTTCCATATAGCCTGACTTCTATACTCCCATAAAATATATATACATATATATTCTCGTTCACTTGTTGCTTGTATGTACTTTTTGGGTTCCCCTCTCTGCAACCTCATAGTACTTCCCTCGTTAACTACTCATATATAGTATTTGGCATAAGATTATATTCTATAGCCTAGCCCCCATTCATGTGGTCTTCGAATAACTCAAGGCCATTGGCTATGTAAAAGTATGCCAGATGTTCACAGTAGGGATTAGTGGGTTAAATACGTTTTTTGGGTTCATTATCAGCTTCATTGGAGGGTTACTAATCGATGGTTTGTAACCCTAAAGAATGAAATCAGAAATTATAGTTCACTGATTTTCTTTCTTATTTCAAATTTAAGTTTCATACATGACTAATTCCTGTGAGAAACTTTTACAAAACTTCAGTTTTAAATGGTTTTAAAAACATTCTTTCAGTGCTGCTGCTTAATTTTGTTTATTGTTCCCAGAATGGAACCCGACCTACCCTCATATACTTGAGAAATGCCGTCGATAAGGTCCCGGAATGCCAGCGACCTAATTTAGAATTCGCAAAGACCCAAATTAAAACCGAAACGAAATGCAAATGTTTTGTTTCGACAAACATTGCATACGATTAGCAGTTCTAACCGGTTAACAAAAATAAAAGTAAATGAAACTTCAAATACCCCCCAGTTAGGTTTTAAAATGAAATCAAATTAGGAATGTCTCATTAAATTATTAATCATTGATGTGGATAAGTTGGAAAAGCGATTTTAACTTTGATGGGAAAATATATCCAAACAGAAATAACATTAGGAAAGGGTATTTAGTGACTTGGGTTAAAACTTTGTTTACTTTTTAAGTTTCTCGCTTGGCTATAATTGGTAATTGAAGTTGTCGCCTGATTGTCTTGAAATTGAGGCGACTCTCGTCAGTGACCACACAGCAATTGTCGATATTTTAGCCCAGTCAATATATTCCAGTTTGTATTAGCCCCCTCCCAGACGGGCCACCCACAAAAGGTCGATAACGCTAATGGGTCTAGATAAAGTGAAATGTGTTCCAAAGGCATTAGGAGTTATTGGCTATTTGTAGTTAATGTTTTATTAATTGAGCTTGCACTTATTGATCCAGGTGTCCCGAAGCTCAGAGTAATATATTAAATTTACTTAATTAATGTTAATATATTATAAATAATGGAAGTAAAGTGGCTAAAATAGATAGCACTTGCATTTCCGAGTAATGGAGTTTGTTCTCTGTCAAAGGAACTACAGCTGTGCCCTATTAATCAAAGGGGAAACAGAGGGTTAATAGCCTACAGGGCGGCTGATTAATCAGATTATATTACAACAGAAAGGTACGATGCCACCAATCAGTCAACCATCGAACAGGCAGGCCAGGGCCCTGACCTTTTGTGAAGCCCGTGGAAAGCCAACATCACTTTACCGGGCTAATTGAATAACTGTAAATTGCAGAAGGGGAAAAAAAAAACAGCAGCACGAAAAGCCTTGGCCCCAATTAAAAATGCAATTTCAAACGTCGAAATGAAAGTTGCGCCCTGTTTTTCTGTGGCAAAGCGAGCGAAAAACATTTTCATTTCAAGCGACTGGAACTGGAGCTGCTGCCGCCCTGCTCCTTGACTCGGGGGTCACACCCACTCGAGGCAAGGACCTGAAACCACTCAACGCCCTGCGGAAAGGTGAGCAGAGTAAACCCATTAAACCGAGCAACACCGCTCCCTGTTGACCCTGCCAATCCTTCCCTGACGTTATGTTGCTGTCTGCCTGGCAACGGGAAATAGTTCTATATCCCAGCTCTATTGCATTACATTGCATTCTAACTCAACTCAGCTGAGAGCTCGGCGGCATGCGTTCATTTCTAGTTCATATCGAATAGTGCAAATGTCTGAACAGCTGCTCTATATCAAATTATTTTCATCTATTCTATTGGTATTTTAATAGTTAGGGTAGAGGGAGGGTATATCGCGTTTTCAGGGTGTTTATAAAGATAGTGGTTTTTGCTTTACATTTACATTTACATTTCCAACTCACCTACTAACTATTTCTATCTAAGATTTTATCGTTTTATAGAAATAGGTTCATAAAAACATTATTAATATAAACCTCTAGCCTCTAACCATAATTTCTTTAGCCCTTTCTAGGGTATTCCCATGATCGTTTCTCTTACTTAACTTTCCCGTTTTTCCAATTACTTTTTTCAAATATTGGTGCAACAAAAGACCTAGAAATTTTGTCGAGCAGAGAGTGTGAGGTAAACAAAGGCTCGGCTAGCTTCGAATCGCTGACCATAGAATGTTGGTTTAGTCTGTCCCGTTTGGCCCTAGACATCCACGGTTAGTGGGGTGTGGCTGGGTGGACAGCCTTGCTATAGCCGCACTCCGTATGGTATTCTCCGTGGACTGACTGCGTCACAACCAACTTGTGTGTTTACCGAACACGCAATTGAAATAATTGATCCAGTTAACAAAATTGCATAAAAATTCAATAAACAACAACAGCAGCAGCAGTAGCAGCGTTAGTGTAGGAACAATATTCCTTGTTGTACATAGTTCCCTTGATGTATATTGAAACCCGATCTCGCAGAGCAATCTTATTGAGTTAGTTCAGTGTTTTCCCCCTTTATGTTTATTTATAAATTGCTCAATCGAAGGGGGTCGAAACTCGTTAGAACTGTCAGTGTCTTGAAAGTCGAGCCAAAGAACTGGGAAATAATAAGAAGGCAAAGGGATCATTCGTTGGAAGCCATAAATTGATATTTATATAACCACAGAATGGATTTGTTTGGAGTTTGATTTTTTTTAAGAAGAGTGAAGGAAAAACAAAAGAACTTTATAAGGTTCTTTGACAAGGCTTTCTGATAGATAATAAATTTGAGTCTTAATAAATAAAAGGTTGCATAATACCCCCTAAAGTCCAACTTTTTCGATTAGCCACACTTGCAATGCGGTCTTTATCAAAGTCAGGATGGCCCATGGCCCCAACAATGCCAGTCTAGACCACTTCTGAGTGCGAGCAGCTGCGTCATCTGGCTCTTCAATTGAAAGCTATTGTTTATTGCATTTGTCACCCATGGCAGGCAAACTAATATGCGGGCAATCAAAAACGCCTTTGAAGATGATGTGATGTGCGATCCGACACTGAGCTGATGCTTTGAATTAATTAAAGAAAACTCTTATTTTGATACATTTTCATTGCAAAAGGGTGATTATCGTCCCGCAGCAAAGCACCAATTAAGACAAGGAATGTGGAACATATGTATTGTTAAGCCTTGAAACTTTCAAGGGGAATGTAAAGAACGACCTGGTTGATGTGTGCAAATAAAAGATTCATGGGAAAGCCACCATTAATACACCATTTAATAGCATTGTAAGGCTTTGGCCTCAAATGGTGTCACTGTACCTCGCCGTCGCTCTGTTTGATTTGGCGGCCCAAGGGGAGGGCTTTAATTGATCGAAACCGAGGGCTTTTGGTAAGCGTCTTGTTTTCCAATACCCATAACACGTATGTGGGTTTAGAGGTCCCGGTAAATTTTCCCCATTTTTGTATGCTATATAAAATTATAACCTCGCAAAAGCCATATGACAACGAAACAAAGCCCAAACGACAACGACGACAACATGCAAAATCCGGGAGAACACGAGACTCAAACGTAATAAAGCCAACAACGTGAGCTAATAAATTATGAAGAATATTTCTCTTTGTATTTCTTTCACGCAACCCGTGGCTTGGTTCGGCTCGGGGTTTTCGTTTGCCTTTATGGTAATGGCCATAAAAGCATAAAAACTCGTCCGGCCACCACGCCCAGATGGAAGCCTACCGAAACCAACGGAAAATAAACCGATAGGAAACCCTATAGAGAACACACACACAGAAACAGGAACCGGGAAGCAAACAAAGCTAAGGCCAGATTCACATATAATTCGGGTGGCATTAAGTGCAATCAATTTTTTCTGACAACAAAAAACAGAGAAATACCCCGAAAAAATGCGCTTGCCACTGTAAAACTTAAAACAAATAACTGCGAGTCAGTCACAAGGCTGCATTAATTAAATTAGACTGATTATAAAACCGCCTAAACTGATCGATCAGGGCCGACTTGCGGGTGGAAAGCCACCAAAAGCCCCACTCCTCCAGACATCGTCCATTTGCCGAAATGTTTGGTTAAACTTGTTAATTATTTAATAGGCATGGAAATGTTGTGGCCGATAAAAACTGAAGCACTGGCTGTCAGCATGTCCTCATTTTTGCCTTCTGTTTGACCATGATTAACGTTCACATAAGCCGAAACTTCCCGAAGATTTTGAAAACAAATTATCGCCTGGGAACATTGAATAAACGGAACGCATTGATACGGTTTAAGATTAGATTATGTGCGATGATATATGGAAGGGTTGGTCGGTGCACTCAGAACTTTGATTTTAATGGATTACCGATGATTTAAATGGGTTCTCCACTTTCTGATAGTAAAATCAATCTAAAATAAATAACTAATCGAGGGTGATATGTTCAGAGAATTCCAGGGAAAGTTCTGGGAAATACTTTCATCATTTGAATGGCATTCAACTTGAAATTTTTCAGTAGCTAAATCCAGTCCAGGCAAATAATCATAGCCTAACAAGTATTTATTCCGAGTCGTAGCTCTACTTGGACAATGATTTATGGTCTGTGAAGGTTTTTATGGCAGGTGCTCTAAAAATTCCAATTTACAAGTGTTTAAATGAACATTAAAACCTCCTTAGTTACGTTTTGGTCGCGCTTTCTTATCTCTAAGCCATTTTCAATAGCCGGTAAATATCGACAAAAATCTAAAATTATTTTATTACCCCTCAATGGGCGATATGATAGTATTGAGAAGGCAGAGCGGGACGGAGGAACTGGACTGATTGGGTTGTCTGGGTCGGGCGACGACTTCCACGATCGATCGATGGGACGGACGGACATATGTACGTATCTTCAATAACTTAAAGTGGCGAGAAAGAGCAGAGCGTCATCGATATTGTTTATGGGTATAAATCATAATAGGTAAAGCGTTTACAAGTGGTTTGAACAGGAAACCAAAGAGCAATTGCCTGGATTTCCATTGTAAATTACAAAGAAGTATGCAAATTGATAATTATTATTATTTTCACTGCTTAGAGTATAGAACCTGTACCACTGTACCCATAAATGCTTACCAAATCGAAGCTTAGATAATATTCCCCTATTTGTTTACCTCTTTGGGGTCTAGATAAAGACCATGTCGGCCGACAAGCTTTCCCAATGCTGATAATGGTAGAAGCCGAAAAAAAAGTAACAACGAAATCACCAATAATTTCTATTGCAAGCAGCCTACGGGCAAATAGAAAATGATTTTTATCAACATTTCAATTTCTATTTCCGAGATATTACAGCTAACTCAATGCCCCGGATATCGAACATGAACGATAATGGTCGACCAACATTCTGCTACTGCTCTACGTAGAAAATACCCTTATTTGTCTGCCTTTTATCTAAGCTACAATGACAACAAATGCATCCAAAATTATTACTCATTAATTATATTTGATCGTACTATTTTCCTTTAATTATCATTAAATTAGCTCGTGTGTGAACATATTATTTATTGGCATTTACATTACGTCAACGGATCTCTCAGCTATTTTTGGCCAAATGAAAACTAATGCAATCGCGTCATCACAACTTATTGGAGAACTGGCAAGATTTCCATCTTTATTTTTGATCGTTTAAGACTGATTAACACCTAAAAGATTTTGGTGATCACAGTCTGAAGTGCCTGTCAAAGCACAGGAAACAATTCAACTTATTGACATATTTAAAGTACTTTCTTGTACAAAAATTGTGAAACAAACTGTATACAGTAAAGGCTAAAATATATATCTTAATATTCTTTCTATATCCTACGATATGCGATACCAAAACAAAATTCTGTATCTGTCGCGTTGACATAAATAATCATTTTAATTACCATTTAATAGGCATTTATTTTTAAAATCCCAGCCACAGAGCAAAGGCCTCCAAACAAAGAAAATATGACGAGCCATTTTCCAAAACATTGAATGGCTGTGTCCCAAATATCGAGTGTTTTTCAACCTCATTCCTATATGTATATATCTTTTTTTTTAGCACATAAATCGCTTTGAATGTACAACAAAAGATATGGCTGTTTTTTTTCCTCGACCCAGACATTTCCATGTCCACAAAAAATGGAACAAAACAAAAGTGAAAACCTGAAGAAAAAGCTGAAAATTGCGTCGCTTTGGAAAACAACAAAAAAAACATTGAAAATAGCAAGGCAAACTGACAAACTGACTGAATGGCGAACTGACGAACTGACAAATTGACGAACCATCCCCTCCAAAATAAATAAAGAATAAAATAAAAAAGAGAAGGAAAGAAAACGGGACTTAAAAAGGGGAAGAGGAAAACAAAAGAGAAGCATGAGCGCGCAAAATGCGCGACATACTTTTTTCCTCAATATTTTGTGTTGTGTGCCATTGCGCCGTTATTTTGAAGGTCAAGTGACCAGGGGTACCTTCTCCGGAACTTGGTGCGCCCACCACCAACAACACCCCTCTGCAGTACCCGCCTCTGCCCTTCGCACACCGAACGGAAAGCCGTTTTGCATTACAAAATCGCATGAAAAAAGGGTAAAGCAAAAACTATAGACAGTGAAAGACCAGTATGGAAAACATTATCAACGTATTTCTTATGATCTTTTGGTATTTTAAAGAATGTTAAAAAGCTAACGCTTAGAAAAGATTGTTAGTTTTGAGAAAATAACTTCTAACAATTTTGATTACGTATTTGATTTCTATAAAAAAGTTAAACTTAACGAAATATTAAATCGATATTTTTTAACTACACTTTTTTATAACAATAATAATGGGTTTCATTCAGGCAGTTAATCCAAGTAATTTGAGAATGTACCGTTAAAGTTACAGCAAGGGAGTAATTTTTAAGGCCTAAGGGTTAGTTATGAACCTGACCGTAATTACCGTAATGTAGCGGGCGTTCACTGTGGCTAGGAATGTGGGCACCGAGCGGGTGATTAACTTACCACGCGTCGTGTCTCGTACCGCGGTAGCAATGGAGTTGGATTCGGTGGTGGAGCAATGGGTGGTGTGGGCGGAGTCATCGTTACCACCTCCTGCAGTACGGCCAAGGTATCCAAGTCGAAGGACTGCAGACAGTTCCCTGGTAGCTCGTCACCCGAAATGTCCGCGGAGGGCGGCGGCGAGGGTGGCAATGGATTTTCTACAACGTAGACCAAATCTATTTCTGGTTTTTCAGGTGGTGGTGGTGGTGGTATATGCACTGTGGGAGTTGACGGAACAAGGCTCATTAGCTGTATGTCCATATCGGCCTCCCAGCTGGATTTCTTTTGTCCCTCCGGCGGATATATCACCGGACAGTCGAGCTCCATTATAACCAGATCAGTTTGGTGGTTTTTCTCCTCCCCGGACTCATAGCGCCGTCTCATGTCCTGGGTGTGCTGTTCACGGATATGGTCCATAAAAACGGAGAACTGCAGGCAGATCGCCGGACAAAAGGAGCAGTTGAAACCAAAACTTTGGACATCCGGCGAAGCGGTGATTTCCCCGCATTTGCGAAAGAAGGCGTAATCCTCCAGCTGCCAGTTCGAGGATTGCGACTCCTGCAGCGGCAACATGACTGGGTTTCCACTGGGGGATTACCTCTCACTCAAGTCTTTAAATTTTCCGAATTTTTTGGCGCACTCGCGACGACGCAACTGGCGCTAAACCGAACCGATACGGAGAGCTTTCCGATTCAACCTGCGATCCGATCCAAACAACCGGCAAATCTGAAATGCAGAGTGACCGGGGCGGACGCCTTCAAATATACCGCCGGCGGTTGGTGATAATAGTGTGACCATCACGCAATGCTGCCAATATACCTAAATACTCTGAATAGCTACACTGAGCGAAAAGTTACCCATAGAGCATTACTTTGAAATAATTATAAGTTATAGTACAAAATCTGAATAAAATAGTTGTGTAGTTATAAAATTAAATGCATACATACATAGGTTTAAAATGGTATAAAATGGTATATAATATAATATATTTTTTTTTAATTTATTAAAAATTAAATAAATATTAGAGATATACATTAAAATTTTTTTTGTTAAATTGCTTTAATGTAAAATGTTTAAATTACAATTTACAATAACACCTCTCCCCCTTGGATTAAGTCTGTGGATGGTTTCCAATAAGATTTTTATATTTTGGTTTGAGTCCGACATATTTCCGAAAGTTTTCTTTTTGGTATTTTTAGTATATTCCATCGGTATCCCACACAACGTATTCGAAAGGTACAGCCACGGTCACGCTGAGCAACAAATAATTCCTAGGCAAGCGGGCGGTTAAATGGCAAAATAAGCCATTTAATGTTTAAGTTTGTTCCTTTCTAGTTAAATTTGTAACAATACAACATGGGTTTCGTGCTGTCCAAGTTTCGGGTGCGTATAACTGATAGACCACCTACCAGTGTCCATTCCCAAATGCCAAAGTGCTTGGGAATATATTAAGGCCTGCCAAAAAAATATGTGTCGTCAAACCACAAATCTAATTATAGAAGGAAAAGTCTACGGAGACGGTATTGGAGGGACTGCAGACGCAGATCCAGGCGTTGGAGAAGTACATGATCAACACCGAGGAGCGAAAGCGGCGGTTCGTAACCAACTTTGTGGCAATTTGTTTGGGCGCCTATGTCGTGGGCTTCGGACTCTGGTACTTCTTCTACTTCCCGCCCACAGTGCAAGAGTGCTTTATGTACCTTGTGCCGCTGCTTCTCTTTCCGATTGTGTGAGTATACCATAGAAAGATTCCTAGTTCGCCTGTTTTTAAACTGACCTTGATCTTCCCCGGCATCTCTAGCATTATCTTTCTGCGGCGACTGTTTACGTGGTACTTCCAGCGGAAGCTGAACAAAAATGGCGATAAGCTGTCCCGTTTGAAGGAGGAGAAGCGCAAGATATTGGAGCAGGTCATGGACAAAGAGACCTATAAGGTGGGATTCCCCTTACTTATTCTTTTTAGCATCAGCTTACATCAATTGAGATTACTCTTATCTGAGGTTTGAATATTGTATTTACATTTTAAGTTTATACATATATGAAAGTGCAGTTCAAGACAGAACTCAGATAAGAACTCAAAACTTGTGAGGTGTTAAAGTGCTTTATTTACTTTTCTCTCTTAAAAGGTTTTCTTTCTTTTATATTTTATTATTTAAGCCCTAAGACTTTTTTTTAGTTATATAAAAACCATAAAATCAGAAGTTCATACCTATATCTTCCACAGGTGGCAGTGAATCTCCTGGAGCGTTTTGGCGATAAAAAGCAGCTCCGTATCAGTGGTCCGCAGACCGGATCGACGCCTAGCCGCCCGCTGGCTGAGCGGACTCCTCAGCCTGCCGCTGCTGCCGCCAGAATTTCAACTGGTGGTGGACAGCAGCAACGATCACTTGCTCCATACAGCAGTGTATATCGCAACAATAACAACATCAACACTTCTTTGAACAGCAGCGTCATCAGCACACAGTCACTGGCACCGATGACGTCAGCATCCCCACAATTGCGCGCTGTTCAAGAGCTACGACGACGATCGCCATTTCCCATTGTGGATGATCGATCACGAAGTGCCCTGGATCGAATCGTGGACTTCATCGTGGGTGACAGTCCAAAGGATCGATTTGGCATGATCTGCAAGGAGTGCCACTCCCACAACGGTGGGTTATGATCACTTGTTAAGAAGTTCTATAGCTCGAAACAGAAACATATTGCATCTAGAAGTTGAGAAACCGGTTAGGCTTTCGCTTTCATTCCTATTTTGGCTAGATTTCGCCAAAATACTTGAATAGCTCATTTAAAGTTGATAAAAAACTGGTTTTCAATGTTAAATATGTAGATTTATACGAATTTATATTCCTAAACGTTTTTCTATTATCATTTTTGTTTCCCCTTTTGCTCTAAATAATCGAGTTACAGAACTTCGCCTTAACTTTGAGGAATTCCAATTTTTTGACCTATTTGTGTATTTTACAGGAATGCTGCCTAAGGAAGAGTATGAGTACACTACCTTTAGGTGTGCCTTCTGCAATGTACTTAACCCAGCTAGAAAGAAGCGACCCGTGGCACCTCGTCTATCTCTGGAGGAACCCTCGGAAACCGCAACCAAACGAAACGACAGCTCAGATAGTGAATCATCCGATGATGACTCTGGTATGTATACAATATAAAGGGAGAATCGCAATATGAAGTCATTTCATTGAGTTCTTTGTTTAATATAACAATCAGTTATCACCTGCTACTGCTTGCATGGTGATGATTTGCTTACCAAATAGATATCGTAATTACAAACTCACGTTTTAGTAGCGAAATTGATTTACATACTTTTAAAATCGCTTCTCCCTATTCTCACTTAGAACTGTATTTTAATATTTGTTGCATTTTCAGATAAAGAGCCATCAGCACGACGAGCCCTGCTTCAAAATGTGCCATCGAGTGAACCTGATATGGATGCCACCACCGTAACGGAAGACTTGGCAATGGAGACTGATACACCCGAGACTGGATCAACTGCCGCCGAGGACAGCAAAGCTGAGTTGGCTGCCAGTTCCTGAGGGCCCACCACCACCACATCGATATGCACCTCTTAGGCGCCAGTTAAGCAAAATTTTTGGATTATTTGCTTATTTTAGCTTACTTATTTAACTCATTTTTATTGGTAAGCGAATTTGAATAAGAATCATCTGTTATCATGAATTTATTGTCGAAGAATGAATACATTGAATGGAATACATACATAAATCTTCGAGTAGCCAACACTTTCTTTGGGTCAGCCACCTTGTATGCCCGAGGTGTGGGCGGCAGCACACCCACAACTGTCAGCATAGAAGGAAATTGATAATTAAAATCTAGACAAAATAAGGCGACAACTAATGGCATAATAATTTAAAGCACGCCGCGGCGTGTGACAAAAAAGGCAAAACCGACAACGATGGCGATATCACTTGGCCAGCAGCGATACTTACCTACTTGCTTGCTTACTTACTTGCTTACTTACTTACAAGCGCGAGAACACACACATGCGACTGTCCGACTCCAGACTAACACTGCATTATGCGAACAGTCAACAATTTCAATTTCGCTGGCTTTTATTTTGCTTTATTCTGTTTTTCCGGGCCATTGATCAAGGCTAACGAGATCGATCGGGTGGCTGGCTGCCTGGTTGCCTGGCAATCTGGCGGAGCAGCAACGTAACATAACGCATTAGCCGGCCAACACCAGCACCACCAGCGCCCACCTACACATGGAGAAATAACCAAATTTGGGCATCAATTGGCTTTTACAAAATTAACTTAATCTTCAAGAAAGCTAATGTTTTTACCAAATATTTGTTTAAAATTGTAAATTGTAAAAAGAAAATTGTATAAAAATATGGAAAATTAGGCTTTTGGGACCTTCTTTGATCTTATTTTTTCTCAGTACAGCAAAGATCGTGGTTGCAGAGAGGGGCAGGGATTGGATTGTGTGGATTGGACGGTGCCGCGCCCGCGCAAATTCCTGCCAATGGCTGGCGGCAAACACAAATTATAAGAATTAAACTAAATCTGTTACACCGTTGCCAACAATTGGGCACGTCTGTCCCCCAATATAACATGTTCATATACATGTTGGCCATATGTATGTATGTACTATGCTCGTATGTAAGCTGCTATCGTCGTGTGCCGACCCCCCGGGCAATGGGCGCTGCCTGATTAGCTCATAATTTGTGTGGCCGTGCGATTTTCGCTCTTTTCCACGTAATTGAATTTCCCAATTCAGGCTGACGGCTGCCGGACTGACAGGCCCAGGAAGTCGCCGATCTTGGTGGTGCGTAAGGCGGTTCCGAGATCAGTTTCACTGGCACATTGCGTGGTGCCAATGAGTGAACGGCCGTCAACCTATAACGGGTTATCGGAAATAGAATTGCCACAGAAAAATCTAAAACTAGGGATGCAAATGGTTAATAAAATATTTTGAAAAATATTTTAGATATTTTTAGACTTCAAATTAATATATTTAAATATTAGTTGCCTATGCATTAAACATAAAATTACGTTTAATAATCAAGAACTGAAAAAGTTTCTTACTGAAGTTCCTAAATTTCTAAGAGAGATGAAAATAATTTAAGAAAATATATCGAAAATTCTTAAAGGATTATTACCTAGAAACCAATAACCTTACCTAGATATCAACCCAGCCCTAGAACCTAGAAGTGAACCTCGACGACGCCGCCTCTCGAATGTTGTGCATTGAGATCTAGTGCAAGTTCGCTGCACCGAAACCCGTTTGCAATGACTCGGACCACCGCTGCCTTCCGGGCAGACCGGGCGACATGTGGCAGTGGCATGCCAAGGCGATGCTTGATGGTGGCACGCCGATGGCGACCTGTGTGTGAGAGTCTTACACGATCCAAATCCAAATCCGAATCCAAATCGGAGTAAAGTGATTCACGAACTGCTGATCCCCCTTGCTTGGACTGCTGGGCTGTTGTGTGGCAAATGCGAATTGAAAATTGGCCAAACGCCAACGCGCGGCTTTGTCAAAAATACAAAACCAGCCCGGAGATTTCTAATTTTTTGTAGGATTTTTTATTTTTTTTTTTCTATTTTTTTTTTTTTTTGGCCAAAATGCAAGTTGGGGGCTTAGTTCATTGCTAATGACGGCATGTCGGTAACTCGATATAAATGCACATTCGTATGTGTTTGCATAGTTGGGTGTTTAAGCATATTACCTTACCTATTCGTCTATATATATATATATATACATATATGCCTTGTCCGTCGGCTCCGTTCGATTTATTTGTCCGCGCTCCACAACAAAGACTCATAATAATCTGTTGGGCCAATCAAGTAAAATATGCGCGAGATCAGTCAACTACAAAAACAAAAGCAAAAGTAAAGCAAAGTAAAGCAACTGCAGCAGCAACAGCAACAGCAACACCAACAGCAACAGCAACAGCAATGAAAGTGAAACCGAGTCTGGCCGAGAGACTCTGGCTGAGATTGAGACCCGGCCAAGAGTCGGTTCTAGCCAGCATCAGCTATATAAGCTTGATAGCCGGGCTCGGCAGCAGCAGTGCAGCGCTGACCAGGAACCCAATTGGAAGTTTGAGCTACGACTTCATAGTCCAATTTGGCCAAGGATTATCAATAATACACCCACAACACTAGAACCAACTCCAGCACCAATTCCCACCCACAACAACATGTTCTTCAAGCTGGTAAGTGCCCTTTGAACCAGGCTCCGGTCATCAAGGCTAGCTTTTAAAAATAGATTCTGGCAAAGAAAAATATTTATAAAAATTAATAAAACAATTTTGAACTACATGAAAATGTTAATCCCAATAATTTGTAAAAGTAAATTCGAAAATGAGATTTTATCCAATTTATATTGTAATTTTTTGAAAATTTTGAAAAAGTCATTCTTAGTCTTGAAACCAAAAGATAATTCTAACATTTCTAACCATTTCCTTCCAGCTCTTCGCTACCTTTATGGCTCTGGCTGTGGCCAAGCCCCAGCACCAACCTGCTGCCCAGTATCCGGCTGGCGTCAATCCCCAGGACTGCCCCAACTTCCCCATCTGTGATAATGCGCGTCTGCACAATCCCCAGCCACAGTGGGGTGCCCCACAGCCTCAGTGGCAGCAGCCGCAGCCACAGTGGAACCCCCAGCCGCAGCCACAATGGCAGCAGCCGCAACAACAGTGGAATCCCCAGCCTCAGCCCCAATGGCAGCCACAGCCCTCGTGGAACGCTGCACCAGCTCCTGCCGCTGGTGGTGATAAGTATCCCGCTGGCATCAATCCCCAGACCTGCCCCAACTATCCTTACTGCGATGTGAATGCCGGACATGCTGGTGCCCCAGTTGCTGCCCCACCACTGCCCGGCTGGACGGAGCGTCTGTATCCCGCCGGAGTCTCGCCACACCAGTGCCCCAACTTCCCGTACTGCAACTAAAGCGGTTCTCTTGCGGCTAACCCCGCAGCTTCCTCTAACGCTTCGCCTTTCCCCGCAGTTCTCAATTAGTTGACATTAATTTGAAATTCTTTGTTGTTGGCGCCGAAATAAATGCAAAATGTTGGTCAAAATAGTTAAAGACTTTGATTAGCTCAAGGGTTTAGAGGGGGTTATCTTTGTATTAATGGTAATGGGGTTTAAGTTGGAAGATTTAAGAGGTCTTTGAGGTAAAAAATGATAAATTAAGGAATGAAAGTTTGATACTAAACTTAATTTCTTACTTATTTAAAATATTTATTAAAAATTCGAGTTCTATAATAACTTATTAGATTAGATAGATAGATAGATAGATTAGATTAGATAATAGTAAAGACCCAAGGACCACAGATCCTGAAAAGATCTTAAAGATAAATATAAAATTCTTCATTAATTACATAATTTTATCACAAATTTCCGTTGGCCTAGGACCAGTTTCCATCGTGCTAAACTAGGAACTATCGCTCTCATGGTCCGAGAATGTGCCCTGCCACGCCCCTGACTTACAGCTTTACATGTGTGGGCAAGGAGCGGAGTGACCAGACCGGACCGGATTGCAACCGTCCAGATCAGAAGGGAGCGGTACGAACTGGCAGTCGACCTCAGTCGGAGCTGGTCGATCGAGTGAGTGAGTGCTTTGTGAAAGTCGTTCTTGCAAAACTTCGGCTTAATTGCCGCCTTCGGGAGGCAAGACCCAAGGTCAAGTGCAACTGCAAATTACAGGCTTGCTGCAGCAATGGGATTAACTAATGGAGCAATGATCCAATCGAAACTATCACATTCCCAACTAATTCACTGCGAAAGGTGCGTGCAATCGAAATTTGGTTTATTAATCAATATGGCATTGCCCTATTTATTTTTTCAAATTTGTAATCATTTATTTTTGCTTAACTAAAAGTGGAAAAAATGTGCAACTCATGAAAGTGATTTTATGAACAAATGTTGAATGTAGCTGAAAGGGTTTTAAAGGAAAAAAAGTTTAAAAGTTTAAATTTTAAATTCTTGGAAGCTTGGGGTGTGTTTCATACAGAAATGATTATATAAAAATTAACAAGTGCAAGTAAGTTGGAAGATGTCAGAAAACTAGTTTCTGCAAGAAACCAGCTGGAAAGCACAGATACATTGTCAAAGACCCAAAGGTTTTATTTCTATTAGCACATTACAATTTAATAAAAGAGGTTTAGTCTCAGAGGAACAGGACTCCTCCTAAGGCGGCATAGAAGGAGTAGGCCACCAGCCAGAAATAAAGCGAAAGAACTGAAAGATTTCAGGATAAACTTATAAAACTTAAAATCAAATCAAATCTTAGATTAACTTACAGAACATAAAGGCATAGATGATTATCACCCAGAACCAAATAACCAGTATTACGTCGGATACTATCAATATGATCATGGCCAGGATCATAATCATAGTCGCTAATATATAGAACAGCATCCAGCTGCTCCTTAACTAAAATAAAATTCATAAAATATTATAGAAACTATTTATGTTAGTAAGAATCTCACCAGAAAACATCCGATGATCAGAAAAACGCAGCTCAAGATGTGTATCATCACGAATATAAGGACCAGAGCATGTCCCAAGTCGGGAACACCTAATGGGTTATCATGACGAATCTTTACCTTTAAAAATCTTTACTTCACTTACCAGACTCTCCGAATAGAGCCACACAGGTACCTGCTACAATATCCGCTATAATATGCAATATCCCTATTATAATGGTGCCGATGCGCAGATCCACACAGCAGCAGCAATTCTGTAAGTAGATCATATTGCCGAAGGTCTATATAGTTCTGGGGTTTTTCAACTTTATTATATTCGATTCGAGTTTAGGTGTTTTAAATTGTTAAGGGGAGAAATGTGTATGTTATGACACTTGAAACTAAAACTCTTAGCTAGATAGAATCTTAAAGTATGCATTAAACTTTTATACTTTGGGGAAGGCAACCTTTTAACCCATTTTATAAACCCCCTAAAACACACTCAAAGCTCTTTCTGTGTACAGTCGAATTGTGATTTTATTTACATTCATTAACTTAGCATTGTACAGTATTTACAGGCTGATTTAACTTGGACTGGCTGATTAGATGGTGGGCTAATAGAAAAGCTGGCCAGCTGGGGATGGCTTACAGCCAGCCGTGTCCGTGGTGAGAGCTCCAGCCATGGTGATCGTGATGGTCATCGAAGACATGGTGGATGGGCACCTCCTCGTGATGAACATGATGTACTGGCACCGGGATCTCCTCGTGATGGACATGATGGACAGGGACCTCCTTGTAAATGGGCACTGGCACGTGCTTCACCACCGGCACATGAACCTTCTGGACATGATGATGATGCACCGTGTGCACTTTGTAAGGCACGTGAATCGTATGGTGTTCGCTGTGGATTGAAAGTGAAATCGGTCAGATTGGCAGCCAATATACAATGTATATATCCATCGGATATTAGCTAATCAGTTGCTTGAACTCAACAAACTTGGCAGCCAATCGGAATTGGCAATTAATTCGCACAATTATGCGGGCATTACAATGAATTAAATGCCAACCGCCGCCGCCGTCGTTGTTGCCTGCGAAATTCCTAAGCCGCCAGCCAAGCCAAGATCGGCTAAGTTCAATGGTAGATACTGACGATCTCCGATAGACTGGAGCGGGGGCACTCTAAGTGCTACAAGCGTTTTGATTGCTCAATTCGATCGCAATCGGACACATATTTTATATACCCACAGCCCAGTCGGAGCGTTTAAAAACCCATGCGACCGCTCGTTAGCTTAGCATAAAAGCGGGAAATGGGTATTTTTATCGATTCGCTCGGGTTATTTATGGATCAGTTCAGGTGCAGATCGTACGTAGATACTTACTGTTTGCCAAAGAAGCCGGGACTGGGGGCGCAGTAGGCCACGGCGAAGAGGGCAACGAAGATCTGAAAGTGGGCGATAAGGAGTTGTCTAAGTGTCCGTTTTAAGAGCGCAACATTATTTTATATATATATAGAAACTAATCAATATAATTAATTTTAATTTGGCTAAAGTTAGATAACTGCCTTTAATGCAAATTTATAAGCTTTATGATTCATTTTCACTGTACTTATGGGGGGCAATAATGAGGATAATGGGATTAAACAAATTATGGCAAAAAAACTAAACAAGAAATCTAGTTTAGATTAATTGGGAGATCTTTGATACTTAATTTATTCATGATCTTTGATGTATGAAATATATAGAAAACTATCAAATAGCGATTTAGAAGACTCATAGCTTTGCGTAACAAATTGGAAAGATAAAGTAAATATATTTTGAAATTTTTTAAACCATTTTTATATCAAACAAATTCTAGTAAAATCAATCTTAGCAAATTTTGTAAGGAACCAAAACCCCTTTTCTGTATAAACTCTATTGATTCGTAATTTGTATTTTGTAAACTTTAAAGTAAATTTGGTAACTTTTTGATTCAGGAAGTTGGTATCAATGATATTTGATTTTGATTTCTTCAATTTTCAAAATTGTTCAAAATTCAATCCTTGAAAGTCTTAGTAATTTTCCAATAGTCAGCTTAAATTCACGATTTTCCACTTAAATAAAATCCTTTTTAGATCCACACGAAGGGTATTTTTTTGAACACTTTTTAAGACCGATATCCTAGCCGCACTTACGAATACTTTCAGGGCGGACATTGTTGCTTGGCTGAAGAGTTTTTTGCGATACGAAAACCGGAGCACTGTCAGGTGGTGACTGATAACCACAGGCTGCGACTCATCCATTTTATACCCGGCGCCAGCAGCGGTTTTGTTGTTGCTAAGACAGTTGACTGCGCTGCACAAGAAAGACGTGACGTTGGTGCAGCAGCAACAGCAACAGAAACAGCAACAGAAACAGCAACAGCAACGCAGCAGCAGCAACAACAGTTGATGAAAACCCAACAGCAACAGCAACAGCAACAGCAAAGCGACAATAACCATAACAGCGACTGTTGGTCATGTTGGTTAGTTAGTTGGTAGGTAGGTATTACCTACTGTTGACTTTATTTTTACGAGCGGGGGTTAAGACCCCCTCTGAGATGATGGGGGAAGGGGTTAAGAGCGGTGGTCCATGCTTCAGTTGTCCACAATGGCAGACGATCGAACTTTGACTTGCTGGAGCTTTTGTGTAATATACGAGGCAAATTACATTAATTTCATAATCATAATCGCAAAATGAGCGAGAAGGAGTGGGGGCTAAAATCATTCCAAGTGAATGACCAAGTAGCACATATATATCGTTACTGAATGGATCACTTAGCGGCCTTCTGCCGGCCGCCACAAAAAAGTGAACGTGAGTTGCGGAGACAAAACAAAGTTGTCAAGCTAATCCAAACTGTATTTTGCTTCTTTTTTTTTTTTTTGGCCCTTTCATATCGGTTTGAAGACATCTCCAACGAACGACCTTGAGGGCCCCTCTTGTGGTAACTGTCGTCGGTGGTGTCAATTAATATGGGTCACCGTTGGAATTACAGGAGTCAACTTTTGGTTGTACATCGAAAAGGCAAAAGATACAAAAACTGATATCACGACACATGAAACACGAAACACGTACGCCGTAAATTTGCAATAAAACGCATTTCGGGCAATTACTTAACAGTTACAGTTGTGGCGCTAATCAAGCCATGCATCACACGATTTTCAAGAAATTCGATTTTGATTTGGAGTTTGATTTTTGATTTTTATTTTTGGTTTTTGCTCATTCTTTATAATGTCCCTGACATAACGCTGGCCACGCCAGCTGCTGTTGCAACTAGTTGTTGCATGTTGCTACTGCTACTGCCACTGCTATTGCTGTTAAATCAACTGTCAAGAGCTTAAATTTGCGGATTGTTTAACCCATTTAAGGCGGAACCAGGGAGCCTCTGTGGGGTAAAATAAAAAATTAAAGTTTAAGTATTTAAAATCTTATTTCTGTAATCATCTTCTTAATGATAGGATTTTTCTTTATCAAACATAATATATGGTACATGAACTCTAAATATACATTTTAGTAAATCCCTAAACCCCTTCTTACCAAATTTAATAAATATCAGTAAAGCCAACATAACGAACAGAGGCCTATAATGGGTTAAACTTTTACTATCACTCGTTTGTTTTCTTTTTAACTCTCTCAGCCTTTCGGTGTATATGTAGGCCAGTATGTTTTAGCTGCGTTTGAGGGCGCACCATAGCCATCCTGCCCCACCAACGAGTCACCGAACCACCGGCTTACCCCTCCTCTTGGCTGGATGTTATTGCATTTGCGGCAAATTGCTCGTTTTAGACATGCCAAATTGCATAATGGATATTTGTCTGAGCGATAAATATGCCATGGCTTCCATGCCACGCCTCCCCACTCCCCTCGTTGCCACTTGCCCCCCCTTTCTAACCATGCGTGCCCCGTGGGCAAAACCAAAACAATAATCCACCCGGTGGCCGCTGCGGTGGATGATTACTTTCGCTTTCTGCGAACGCGCTCGCGAATCGCTTTGGATCGGGATCCCGAGATCTGCACATGCAAATACTTCCTGTTGGGTGAGTTTCTGTGATTTCTGTGAATGTGGACCACTCGAGAAACTTTTGGACCAGGTCCGAGTTTTCCTGCAGAGGAAGAAATGGGTAAAGGAAATTCGATGAGCATTTCAGTTTGGTGAGTTTTCGATCATAAATCGGATTTATTAGCTTAAAGTTGAGACTAATATTGTCATAATTACAAGTTAAGTTATTTTATTGTTAACAATTTTTTCATTTTTCTCAAAAATAAACTGATCACAAAAAGTAACTAAAGTAGTAACCGATCTAGACGTCAGCATAATCATACTAGAACAGCTTGCTTCGTAGATTCTTTAAGGTTAAGGATTCTTATATTCTTCTTATACTTATATTCCTCTTAAAATAATATCTTAGTTTCTTAAAGAAGTTACTTATATACTTTATCTCAATATAAAAAACATTTTTCTCTCTGTAATAGGATCTCTTTGGCTGGCCAAAATCAAACAGCTGGCCACTAGACTCAGTCTCAGACTCCAACTCACACTCTAATTGAGACTGTGACGCACATGCAGACCCAATGGCTCACTCAGCACCAACATGATGTAAAACACGCCAAGTGCTCGTCGTTATGCAGATATGGCAGATATTGCCCGATATATATAAATCGAATGGCTGTCTAATTGGACGGCGGAACATGGCCGGCTGTTCAGTCGATTGGTTAAACATGAGTGGACAAATCGTTTTTGATAAAACCAAACAAGATTGATATTAGATACCTAACTCATAAATCAATACAACGCGTTCCCAAGAAAGATTGATGTCCATCAGAATTTGATTTACATTTGGTAAGTTGATTTTTAGTACTATGAAATATGATGTTGGGAAAATCTTAATGTTAGAAAATTGTTTTTGCAACTTAACTGGTATTTTCCTGAAGATATATGTCTTTTCATGGTTTTTCGGTTTATTTAGTTACTTTTTTATGGTTATTAATTAAATCTGTGAAGCTGTAAAGCGAATAATGGACTTTAACTAAGACTTAAAAATATATATTACACAACTTTGTAGATGGTAAGGGAATGCTTGTTAAATTTATAGGTACGCCAAATTGGTGAATAATTAAATATTATATTTTGAAAGACTTGAATAGGAAGTACAAAAAGTTTTTCAATAAGTTTATTGGCTTTTTAAGATAATAATTAAATAAGCTATTTTAATCTCATTTTGATTCAATTTATCCTAAGACGCTTTCTAATCAATTCAAAATCTAGAGAATGTAAGTAATCCCAACAGAAACCTCAACCTTTTCACTTCCACACTTTCTTCTTAACTAAAATAAAGTTTTTTTTTAAATCATGCCCCCTTGAATTAGCATATCCGTGCTAGTAAAACCAAGATATATGAATGATTTTAGTACGTGCTATCAGAAGGGTCTTCCTGCTGGCCCACAACTGCCAATCAGCTTTTGACCATAATTTATGTGCCCTGGCAAAAATCGTTTACCCAATCAATGCGGATTACATGACGCTGACTGAAGGCTTGGATTTCCTGCGGATCACACTCAACTCTGATCGACAATCGAAGTCGACATGGTATCGTATCTGCCGCCAATATCTTCCAGTTAGACACGACCTGAAACTGAAATTCAAATTGAAATTTCCACGCAGATATATGCTAGAAACGTGGTCAATTCGCGGCCCCATATCATCGATATATGGTAGCCTCACCCACTTGGCAGGCGGAGTGCGTCCACCAAAAAAGACAAAAACCGCCGATCGCCTATGTAAGTCCGATGAATTTTGATGCGATGCGATTTTTGGACTTCGATAGGGTCGAGGGACAAGTGCCAAACGCCAAACACTGCACATTCAAACGATATTCGAGCGATATGTGGAGCAGCCCCCAAAATATTCACAGGCATTGATTATTGTGCAATCCATGGAAGTGCCAGAGTGCCGGGCTTCTATTTTGGCCATTTGGCTATTAACTGTTTGCCGAAGCAGACTTGACCTGCTTGGGGCGGAGCCACTCGGTCATTTATAATTAAGAATGGCCAAGAATGGTTAAGAGGTTTTTAAGGCTTTGTGGTATAAAGAATAATATTCTTAAGAGCACTTAAAAGTTCTTAATTATATGTGAAAATAATTTAAGCTTTTACATTTTTGGCAACTGGCCAATAAAATTGCTTTAAGTCTGGTGAAAATTCTTTTTTAAACTTAAAATTTAAATAATTGTGTTTAAAAAGACCTTCTTAGTTCTCTTAAAAGTGATATGAGAAACGCAAACCTTATTTATTATTTATTTAAATGTTTAAATGAAGTAATTTTAAATACCATTTAGCTTGTTTGTTTGTGCTTAATTACCTTATTTTTCATTTTAGTCATAATTTTGCCATTGGGCAATCCCCAAACTCTTAGAGGCGTAACCCCAAGTTGAGACTTAGAATTCCTAGGAGTTCCTGGTATGCAAATTAGCCGCCTAATGAGCTCATCATTGACTTCAACGAATCCCAAAAACCAAAAACCAAGTCCGATTCTCCTGCCTCTGCTGACTGCGACGTTGGCAGCGACTGCTGTTGCGCATGCGTCTGCGCAGACTGCGGCGTCTGAAGTTGAAGTCGATGGCGAGGCGCTGATGAAGAACAACCCCGGCCTGAATTAGACGACGCCAGCGAGCATGACAAGGTCGGCACTTAAAGGTGTCGCCAATTATGAGCCTCACCTCTTAATAACCACCCACCTCTCTCCCGCCGTGCATCAACCTCAACATCATGATGATCTTTCGAAAATCTCTTTTTCGAGCGTTTTGTGAAAACTCGCTCGAATTAACGCTTCAGTTAAAGCCACAAATGCACTTGCGGCCAGTTACAAAGTTAGTAGGTGTCCGTTAAATTTGAATTTCACACCGCTTAGAGCGCTCAGCAATGCGGAAAGGAAAACTTTTCAAGCTCCGAAACTTAAATTCTTGGATTCTTTGCTTCAGGTGCGGTTCTGATTCGACTGCTCCACTGATTCTAGTCTTTTAGCCAAGTGTTCTTCCTCTCTCTAATTGCATCGAAAGAAACACACAGAACACAGAAACAATAATCACGCAAATGTGCTTTTATTTTGAAGTTTCTACTGGGAAGGGTATATTAACTATTAAAGGAATATTGGTTAAAGTTAAGTCATGTTGTAAGAGCTTAAGTACCTCATCAGAGCATTGAAAACTTAAGTCTGTTTTTACAGCTTGATTTTTCATTTACGTTTTTGCTCCAAAATGTGTAACTTTCTGGCTATCATCTTTTTATTTCTTATTTTTAGCACCGAACAACTTTTGTTGCTTTAAAAAAATAGTTTAAAAAACAATTTTAGCTGAAAATTTAGTTGATTACTTTTGTCTAGACAGATTTTTAAATATAATTATTGAACTATTTATTACAAAAGAGCAATCAACTTTTCCTTATAATGTGGCCCATTTCTCCTGTTACAATTTCATTTTAAACAATTTTCGAGAGTCATTGCCAGCTATTTGAAGCGGGAAAAAGGGGCAGGAAAATCCGTCGAACTCCGAAGTAGCTCTTTCACCTCTTTGTAAGATCCCCTTGCCCATCGAATGTCTCAAGTGGGCGCAGCGTGGGCAATGCTAATGATGATAATGATGATGACGATCTGCAGAGCCAAGCTCCAGCGCCTCTTACACCTCATACCCACCCCCTCTTTAAAAACACCTTACTTGTAGTATAAAGCTAACATCTAAATAAACAACAACTAAATTACACTTGGGAAAAAGATTATATTTTAAGCTATTATAAGTAATTAACTAAAATTTATAGTCTTTTTGAAATCAAATAATGAATTTTGTTTCTAGTTCTAAGCCTTACAGTTGGCTTCTTTTTTCTTTAAAATCTTCTTTGTATATAATTACAGATTTTTCACTTAAGACTTTTGTCAAAATATTTGGATATCTTAAGATTCCTAACAAGTTTTTTTAAAGGCTCTAAAAGCCTAACTAAATTTATGAGCTAAAAGTTTGGGATATTTCGCTGCTAATAGTGAATTTTTATAAAATAATCTGAATTTATCATGGAAGATTTATATCTAGTCAAGATATTTCTTAAGTAGAAGAATATTTAATTCTTAAACTTCCAAAAATTCTTAAAATTTTTATACAATGCAGTACTCAATGACCTATACTGAGAGCTTGATTAAGTGGAGAATCTGCTTAAAAACACTAGAACTAAGATTTCCAAAAATTTCTAACATTTAGTAAAATTTCAATCGGTTTTATGTTTTTTTAAGCTTTATAAAATGTAAATAATATATCTATAAATTGAAATACAAAAATTTATCTCAGTGTGGCAACAAGAAATTATCTGGGCGGGATGCTTACCTGCCTCCGACTCCATCGCTGCCACTGCTTCTGCTGCTGCCCGCGGCTCTGTCGCAGCACTGTCGCGTCTGCGCCGCTTTCTGCTCTTCCGATGAGTTTCGAACACAACTAAATCAGAATTTTTATTCAGTTTCAATTGTTTAGCGAGTGCGGATCGGCGTCGAGTGCGCGAGGCAGCGAAAACAAGCCAAACCAGACGAGACGGGCCCAAAAAAAAAAACAAAATCAAAATAAAACAAAAAAATAAAAATAGAAATAAAAAAGTCAAATCAAAAGATAAAAAGTTACAAAAAAGAAACTTAAACAAAAAGTTAATTGAAATTAGAGGTGTGTGTATTAGGAGGGCTGCTTTCTTGTCATTAGCCGAAATTCTAGAGATTTGCAAAGTGTCAAAGCGCAACGGAAGTGCCGTTATATTCGCTACATTTCCCAGCCTAATTTAACTCGCTCCAAAAAGAAAAACATAGAAAAAGAAAGAAGAAAGTCAAACAATTTTCACCAACAAAGTTATTTCCTTTTTATACCGAGAAGAATTCTTCGTCACCTGTCAGCTTTTAATTAATCATCAAGATTCTTATTAATTTTTTTTTTTGCTTTTTTGCAACTATAAAAAATGAAGTTATTATTGTTTTAGCTGCTTTCGGCATTGGGATGACAAATGCTGGATTTACGCATTGATGAGCACTTTGTCATTAGAGTTTTTTAATTATCGGGCCGAAAACTTTGAAAAACTTTTGGTCGAAAGGTCACACAGGCGGCAGCCCCTGTGCAGTGAACTCTGACGTCATTGGCTGTAAGAAGACTTCGTACCGCGCTCGGTTGGTTGGTCAGGTTATTGACTCTCCCCCTCTCTTTTCCACTTCAACTTACAGTCTAGACCTCCCCATCATAATTATGTTTAGTTCGTCTCTTCCGCAAACGCAGAATCTTCAGAAGACTCTACTTGGCCCTGCGAACCCATAAATAAACCCGATCTTAACTCATTTTTTAACGATCTGCATATTTTGGCAATATAATTAACGGTGAAAAGAATGTGAAAAGTAGCGAATAGTAACGCGAAAGCCAGTAAAAGAAACAAAAAAGAAAGAAACACGCGACTGCAAAGAAAGGCGGAAGAAAGAAGCAGAAGGTTTCTACGCGTGTCGGCTGAGTCTTCATCTCTCAGTTCGAAATCTCCCGTCTAACCCATCGGTGCCTCGAGCAAATCTTCTGGCCAAAAAAACAAAGCCCAAGTGAAACCGCCGATAATGCAAAAGGGGAAGTGCCAAAAAAAGCGAGTTAAGTGAGAGCAAATCTAAAAGAAAGCATCATCATCATCAGATCGCGGATACTGCCGGTGGGGTCACCAATTAATCAAGCCCAATGATAGCGATTAGCGATAACTCGCTGGGGCGGCGATTAATGCGTCTGCAGGTAGCATTTCTCCTGATCGGTCTTTGGGATTCTTCAAAAGCTTTAACAGTCGACAATCAACTGGTATCAGCGCGAAATGGTAAGTCATCATTTAGATTCGATTTTCTGTTCAATAATCATCCTTGGGAAGTCCTAAAAGTTACTAAAAACATAGAAAATACTTACTTTTGTGAGTTTAAAAACAAATTCTTTAAATTTAAATATTTAATTTGCCATACCAGCAGCATTTAATATGTTTTTAAGATGTTAATAAACACCATTTACGCTAATAACTCATACAATTGGTCGTTACATCTGGCTTAATGCCTTTTCGAGAACTCGCTTTTTATGGGCACTGTGTGAATGGGAAAATACTTACAATATGGTTATTAAAAGAATGGTTTTAGTAGTAGTACTAGTAATAGTAATACACTAGTAGCTGTGTTATTGACCCATTCTAGCTATAGTTAAGAAAACGATTATGGGTTCTTAAAGAACATAAGTTATGAGTTGTGGTTTTCATATTAAGATAGGGTAAAGAGGGATACTTGTTATTCTAATTTTCTGCATAAATGTATAGAAAGTACACTATAGCAAAGTTTAACTAAAAGTAAATACCAGCTACTATAATTAATCACATTTCCATTACTCAAAATATATTCTAAATGAGATAACTTCTTGGAAAAGATCATGCCAATCTAATGACCATTGGCTGGGGGCCAATCCATCAAGCATGTCACACCACAGACACCGCAGAGCAATGTGTTTTGTTTATGGTTTGACCTTTTTGAATAATTCATGCACTGACAAAAATCCTATGGGTCACAACCCAACTGCTAACCCAGCCAGCAGGGCAAGCACGCAAAGTTAATAAAATTCAAATTCAAATCGGAGTTGAGAACAAAGCCAGCTAACAATCGAATAAAAGAGACAATTGCAGAGTCAATAAAACTAACCTACCGTAGAGTGGACGAAGTGGAGCACCAACAGTCCAATGTTGGTGATGGCCTTGAAAGTGCAAGTTGGGTGACGCAATTGTTTCAAAAGGCGAAGCAGTGGGGTGGAGGAGGGATTACTTAACTAACAATTGGAACCTTTTGTAATTTCGATTGTAAAAATGTACCATCTTACTGTGTTGCATCGACAGACTGCTTCGAGCGGATTGCATTGGAGGCGATGCTGCCATTTGAGAAGACCTTCCGCACCGAAGACACCAACTCGCTGAAGATGTGCAAGGAGAAGTGCCTGCAGGCGGGCGAGAAGTGTCAGGCCATCTCGTTCGGGTGAGTCGTCTTCTTCCACCTGTCACCCCTTGATTGCCCAATTTCCATCTTATTTATATATGTATATATCTATATATACCTTGGATATTTGCAGTGTTCATCGACGCGGAAACGGCACTTGTCAATTGTCATCGGAGCAGTACGGTTCGGGGGGCGGTGGGCGTCCGGGGGGCGTGATTTTCGATCCCGACTTTGATCTGTACACGCGCAAAACTAACTGCTTCGACTTGAGCGACAATTCGATTGCCCCCGGTCCATTGCCCGTCCCAGGCCCCAGTCCCATTTCACCCGGTCCAACGCCACTGGATCTACCAAATAGACCTTTGGATGTAGGGAATACCCCAGTGCTGGTGGTGAACCCAACGCCGCATACTTCTGGTAGTCCACCTCCACCGCTTGGTCCTTCTCTACCGCCACCTGGTGTGGGGGATCGCCTGTACTTCTCTCATGATCTATATCCACTGTACAAGTACCCAACGCTCTACGAGAACAACTATCCGTCGCCCAATGAGGAAGCCTACATACCCGGTGGCTATGCAGCCAATGCACAGGAGGTGGATGAGCGATATAGACCCCACTATGGACCCGTAGATCACGCAGAAGATGAAGGCCCAAGGCCCACGCCTCACAGCCCACCGAGGCCCATCTTTGGATTGGGCTATGGAAATGGTTATAGCTATGGATCTCCGGAGAGATATACCCCGCCTACGATGAGACCATCAAGTGGTTCCTCGGAGGAGCGTCCAAGTTATGGAGGAAGGCCACCTCGTCCCACTGCTGATCGTCCGGATTACTCACCTGGTCCACCACGTCCCACGGACGATCGCCCGGAGTATCCTCCACGTCCCTATGATAGTTCCACGCCGTCTTCCTATGGACCACGACCAAGTCCTAGCTATGATGGACATCGTGAGCCGAGACCTGATTACACTAATAGACCAGATCCACCAGCTTTGTCTCCGCATGATAGTTATGGTATGAATGGTCCATCGGCACGACCACCTCCGCCTTACGAAGGACCATCTCCACCGCGTGATGAATATGTCCGCAGGAATGGCAGTGCCATGAGACCAGGAGATGGATATGGTGGCTACGATGATGACAAGACCATTGCCACGTACTTTAATCCTGATGATTTTATGCAAGGAAGCAGTAAGTATTTTGTAATCATAGTCATGGGAACTAACTAACTAAACCATTTAACTACTTGCAGAACGACCTATGCCTGGGGATAGAGATCGGGACAGGGATCGAGATCACGATCGACTTGGTTACCCCATGGACGAACTAAAGGGTAAGTAAGATCTGTGGTGTTCCTTCTCTTGGTTTCCCTACCTCCAACTAACTAATGGATTCGCAATGTCCCCGAAGTTAACCGCCTAATAACCCCTTGGACATGAAATTGTGCCTATAAACCTAATAAATAGATAATGACACGGGTCACTTGAGAGTTGCAACAACAACAACAACAACAACAATGGGACAACTAAATAAATTAGAATTAACATGGTGCACAAACTAAAACTCATTAGCTTTCGGGGTCCAAGCCGACAGAGACTGGTCAAGTGACAGATGACAGACGCCCGATTGACCCACATTCTCTGGCTTTTATTTTGCGTAACACAAAACTAAACCCATTAGCCTGGCATAATGCTCATCGGATCTGGGCTGAGGGAATCGGCGAGGGGTTGCATTGGTATTATTCACAATAATATATAGATACAACGGAGCCAAAAGCTCTACTAACTAACCCACCCACCCACAAAACGGTATAATAAATAATGCTGGGGCCAAAGTTTTTGATAAATGGCAAGCGCAGTAAAATGGAAATGCAAAAATCGGGGTCACCAACATGGGGTATATATCTTTTTCGGTTCTCTTAGATCTTTTTGCAAGGAAATGATTAGTAAAGGGTATTATTTTATGTGATGGGAAGGTAGATGTTTATATAGAATGATCATGCTTATTAGGTTTCTGTACGATGAAGTCATCGATTGCATAGTTAGGGTCAACTTTTGTAGTTTTTGTAGATTTTTCCTATAGAGATAACATCTTTAAAAACCGCATCTTGTGATTATTTATTAACTTTTAGCCAAAAAATAACTTCTTGTTGGTAATATTCAAAAAATATTTATCAGGTTACTTACCTAACTTCTGCAAAGATAATCCCCAAAATTAACTTCGCTTATTATTTTCCGGTCCCTTCATATAATATGATCTCATTACTTTACCAAAGAAATTGAGTTGTCAAGTGCAGAAGATTTATGACATTTCTGAAACTACCAAGCCAGATCATCAAAGAACAATTTGTATTTTGATTTTGAAGCGACTTCCTTTCGGTTTTCCCAAGTGTGACGGATTGGAGTACATGAACCCAGCGGGTGGCGGTGACATAAGCCTACTGACTCCGCCATATACCATATGCTCTATGGCCAAAGCCAAGTGCCAAGTGCCAAAGAGAATCCCAAGTTCAAATGCCAAACTTGATGACGTTGGCGCAATTAATTGTGTTTTTCTAAAGTTGGCGTGTTTGCCAGTTAGTTAGTTAGTAAGCTTGCTTTTATTTGGCGTGGGACAGATCGTAATTTACACTTGGAGATTGGGCTGGGAGGCGGAAGCGATCTTTGCTATGGGTATCTCCAGTTTTTGGCGGTTCTATAGTGTTGTGCAAGATCGGAATAGAACATCAGAACAGTACGGAGTGGAACTGCACTCAGTATGCACACTCCTCTGGCATTCATTGTATGCAAATGCAAACACCAAGTCGGTGCACAAAAACCACCCACACTTGCGGTTCGAGTTTGTGGCACCACCGCTGAGCTGCACCACAGCCTGACAGCAGTGACATTGATTCAGAAACGGAAATGCACTGGAGTTGGTTGGTTTTTTTCGGGTGGTTGAGGGGGTGATATGATCGATGGACTCATATCTGTGGTCAGGCTTGATTGGGAAATGCTGGTGGGCCCTAAAAAATTGAGCCCTCTTCGGAAATGCTAGAAAAAAAACGAAAGACTTAGGCAAGGAACTTGACATCGGGGAATCCTTTTGAGTTTTCAAGTTTAGTCTATTGAGTTCTTGAGAAAATGTTCTTACAAAATAGTTCAAAAATGCAAAGTTATAGAACTTTTTTATATTTCCTAACTAAGTTAGTGGGCAACCGCTCTTCGAATAACTCAAGTCCAAGTTAAAATGTTAATATCATTGTAAGTTATAATTACAAACTCAAGTCAAATTCATTCAAACAAAACTTAGACCCAATTAAACACCTCTTGATAACCCACAAAAGTCTGAAATATGGTCCATCCTTGAACTGAAAACTAAATTATAACAGACTTTGTTCCCCATAATTCCACTTTATTAGTTTAAGATTTATTGGGTTAACTGTTTGGGTCTAACTTTTCCTAGTAGCTCATTAAGACCGCTCTTATTGAAATGAAATAATAGGCATCATATCAGAGTTGCGGCATCCTTGAGCGAGGTCTGTTAACGGTTGGCTGCCCTCCAACAGCATCGCATCTCGTAGCGATCTGTACCCTCGTATTTTCATCTGAATCATCGCTGAAGATAGCCATCTTTTCCACCAAAAAACAAAAACAACCCACTGAAAATGCTCATTATACCAGAGATTCAACCAAGATCCAAGTTCCAAGGCTTCTGGGCAAAACGTAGTGCTCTCTGTTGGCTGAGACGGCGTCGTTGGAAAAAAAAAAAAAATCCACATGAAAATGGGAGTGATTTTTCGAAATTTTCTGAGCGTCAGAGCGAGAAAAGCTCCCGGCTCAGAAGCGCAGAAGCGAAAAGCTCAAAAAACGCGCGCGATTTTCTAATGCCGTATAAAACCGCAAGCTTGACCACAGCCACTGTTCATTCGCGATTAGAATCGCCAGCGCCGCGCATCGAAAAATTATATATAAATAATCCGGAAAATTCGTGGTCGCAACTCCGTGTCCTGTGTGCGAGCGAGATGGCCGGATGGCCCATTGTTTAAAAACGCTTGACATTGCACAGAAATTAATTAGCCCAGAACGTTGAAATTTAGCCATTACGTAATCACAAAATCACCGCTTTTCGTATAATAAACTCAAAAAAAGTACAAATTTAAAAAAAGATGGGCAATTTTAGTGGGCTTTTGCCATTGCTTTTGCTTTTGTGTCACATCTACAACAGCGGATCGAAGTTCGTTAGTCCTACGCGCCACACCGATCTCAGTAGCACCATTATCATTGTGGAGGATGCCAAAGGTAAGAGGTGCCTCCAAAGGTACTTCTAGGTCATTCCACTTGGAACGCCACCAGAAACTGTCGACCGAATTTTTCGGTGTGCGTATTAAAGTAATTTGCATAATTTCCATCGTTCTGCGTGAAAAACACTCTGTCTTGGCTACCAATTTTCCCTACGGAGATAATCTTCGGGTGAAGTACACGGCAGCCAACATGACTCGAACATAATTTACTCAAAACGGCAGCGGATGTGCCGCAAAAACACTGAAAAACAACAGCGAAAAAAACACTTCGACCCGTAACAGAAACATAAACCGACTTACTTGGACATAAATGCACTTGGAGAAAAGAAGTGACATTAAGAAGTTCCCAATCAATTAAAGTTCTTGCCGGAAAAGTTGGAAAGTGAAATGACACTTGCTTTCGTATTCCCAAGCAATTATTAATAGATTTTATAAGAAGTTAACATTTGCATGTCATGTTCTTAGGAAGATTGGCCAAGATGTTGTGGTGATTATTTTTAGTAACTGATAAAGAAATTATTTAAACGCGAAAAGAAAAGTAGCCACAGAAAGCTTTTCACTTAAGTGGATTATAATTTTCTTGGCAATTTCTTTTTAGTAAGTGATATATCCGAATTTAACATCAATTTTCTCAAACTTGATTATTATTTTCTTAGAATTTCCAAGTACGTTTTTTTAAAGATAACTTTTTAATTTAGTTAAGCCATTAGTCACCAACTTTCAGTGACAATTACATAGATTTTTTTCCAAGTGCCAACCGACAGCCATGAAGCAACCCAGCCCCGATCTTGGGTTCTGTCCTCGCTTCACTGCCTCCAAACGTTGAATGGTTGATCTTTTTTTCCGCCTTACTTTTCCTCTTTTGCTGCCCACAATTGCGTAAGACGCAGCATCTGCAACTGGCACTGCAACACAGACTTGATCTCCTTTTCAGCCTGCTTCCGCCGTGTCCTGGCTGGTAAAAGGATTGCTCCTCATTTCGTGCGACGTTCCATATCCTGCGAGCGGGTGGAGGAGTGCATGCGGGAGTGTGGACGAGAGCGACGCTTCATGTGCGAAGGTTTTAACTACAGGCTGGATCCCTCGGGTCATGGTCAGGGCGATTGTGAGCTGGTCGAGATGCCGCTGGCCCAGATGGATCTGTACTCCAGCCCAGATCGAAGGGATGCCAATCTGCTGAGACATCCAGACTACGACTACTACGAAAGGGATCGCAATGCGCCGAGCAGCTGTCGCCGAAGTGCTTGCCAGGATTGCTCTAAAGGTCCGGTGAGCAGTCAGCCTGTTTACTTCAAGCCCAGTGGCGGTGCTGGTGGATATGGAGATCGGGATCGCGATCGGGATAGGGATCACTATCGTCCACCGAGCAGCACTGCCGTGGATCATTATCGGGGTCCATCAGGTCCCCCGGGCGGCTCCTACGAACATAGACCGCCCTTCTCCTCCGAGTTCCATGGCTCGCATAGCTCATCCTCCTCCGCATCTTCCTATGAATTTTCCTCGCATGGTTCGGGCTCCAGTTCTGGTTCCAGTTCCGGCTACTTTGGTCACACACCACCCAGCAGTTATGGAAGTGATCATCCGTACGTAGATCGCCATGATCCGCCACATTATCGTCCCGGAAGACCTGATCGTTGGGAAACTTTGCCGAGCAGCTCTGGTTACGATAGCTCCGCCTACAGACCGCCACGACCGGAAACGGATCGCATTGACAAGTATCGTCCACCCTATCGTCCTGGTTCGGATTACTCACCCTATCGACCACCAAGTCGTCCGGCTAACAACTACCTCGATCGCGATGGTCCCGCACCTCCAGGTCCTCCTGGTTCCTACAAGAAGCCCAATAAGTTTGTTCCCTACCTGATTGGTGGCGAGGACAATTGGGGACACTACGGAGGTAGTTATGGCGGCAGCAGTAAGCACTCCTCCTCCTCATCCTCTTCTTACTGGGGTCTAACTGAGTCCCAGAGGCGCAAAGATCAGCATGACTTTAACTACTTCCAACTGGGTGGGCCACATCGCGATTCCAACTCTGTGCACAGTTATCCTGGTTCTGGTTACGATGAGGACTACCCTAGACGACGCAACGATTACCGACAGCAGTGGACGCGACGACCAGGACAAGATGGTGAGTAAAGGGTTTCTAAAGGGTTTCTATCCAAGATAAGTACATACTTTCTTCTTTCCAATCTTCATCAACAGAATGCTCTGCCAAAACTAGCGAGGGATTCCGACTGCACAAAACGGCAGTAAAGCACGCCTATAACGTACCTACTCTGACGGAGTGCGAACGCCTGTGCTCGGATCAGCGTCCCAGTTTCATCTGCCACACCTACAGCTATAGGTACAACCAGGCCGGAAGGGATAACTGCATGCTGTGTGATCGACCCATCAACATGCTCGACTACTATGTGGACATCGAACCGGATCGAGACTATGACATTTACTCCATGGCTGACGACATGGATGTGTGCCGGCAACCACCACCAAGACGACATGATACCGCCGGTCCTAGCACTGCTCTCTCAGATCCGAGAAATGCTCGTAAGTTTAAGTTTAAACTAATCTAAGAAACTTTTTTAATGCAATGTTCCCTTTCCAGAGTGCTTCTTCCGTGCAATCGATGCCACGAGGTTCTTCAAGTCCATTGTCCGTGACTCACTGACCGTGCGATCTGTGGGCGAATGCGAGATGGAGTGCATCCGGTCCACGAAGTTCACCTGCCGTGCCTTTGCCTTCCGATATGGCCAGCAGCGTCATGCTGGAGTCATCGACAACTGCCAGCTAAGTGATTGGCCAGTAAGGGATATGGACAAGGAGCGGCATCTAATCCTGGATGCAGCATTCGATATCTTCGAGCGAGCAAGTTATGGCCATGGATGTGAGATCCAGCCAATTGTGGATGAAAAGCACAAGAAACGTAGGTGATAGTAGCTTTCTTAGGAGCAGTATTAACCCATTATCTATCATAGTCTGCTATCTGGGTTATGGATCACCAGCTAGACTGCTTCCTCCGGCCATCAAGAAGGTGATTTCTGTGCCCTCGGAGATGGCCTGCAAGAAGGAGTGCATCCGCTTCAGGGAGACAACACCTTTCAAGTGCTTCGCTTTCAGCTTTGGGTGAGTTAATAGGATTCCCTGATCCAAGAACTGTTTTTGATATCCCTATATCAGATCCCGTGACAGCTCCTTCAACTGTGAACTCTCCGACCTGGATCAGACCGAGCTAAAGCAGGACGTGCACTATGCACACACCAAGGATCGCGATTTCTGGCTCTTCGCCTGGAATCCTTTCGATTGGACTTGCAGGGACAAGGTCAACACTATTGGCGGATCAAGGGTCAACAATGACCGACGAATGGATATCTTCCGGGAACCGGGTAAACTCAACATACTAACCTGTTGCACCTCGATCCAAGTGTAAATAACCGTTTCCGGCTGCTCTTCCCGGGCAGAGGATTATCATTAGTTGTGTATTATTAGCATTTAGATTTGTGTAAATTAGCTTGTAGCGGAGAATGTGTTTTGTAAATAACTTTTACTAGCATGTACAGTGGTTCCCGCCCCCCAGCATAACCGAAAGACGAATCCATTCCCTGTCCCAAAAAAAAAACCCGATACTAACCGATTGTTGCATGCCACCGTTGTTGAATTCGATTCCGATTTCCACTCCCCAAAATCCCGTGCTCTTGACCTCACTAAATCCGCTTCTTGTCCGCTAAAGGCGACTTGGCCTGGCGCCATTACACCGTGTCCGGAAAACCCTGCCGCAGGAGCAGTCCATGCGCCAAGAATTTGATAACGGGCTTCTACTCCTGCGAGACGGATGCCTCCGAGGTGGGTTCATGGGATTACTGCTGCAAGGCGGACCATCCGTGCGGATATAGCAAGGGCTTCGATTATCCCTGGTAAGTGGAGGGATTCATCTGATCCTCAAAATGTGTCCGCTTTTAACGTCATTTTCCAGGTGCTTTGTGGGTGACGAGTCGGATCAGTGGCGCAAGTGCAGCGATCGGTATTTCCCCGGCAAAAATAGTACCCAGGTGACTCACTCCCATCTGGGACTGCCCAGTGCTAAGGAGAAACAGAAGCATCCACATCATTCGCAGCCTGCGACGGCGGCCAGTAGTGAATATAGCCAGCATCCGCCTCGACCAGGAGGATTGCAGAGCCTGAGTGACTTTGCCGCCGCTCGCCTGTGGCCCGTGACCTACCTGTACAGTGAAGGCCCGCCCAATGCCACCGAATTCAGCAATTTCGTCGACTGCAACAAGGAGTCGTGCTAGTGGTGTGCTAACTTAGATTATGACTAGCCTATTAAGATATACTTGTGTACAATAGAGAACCCCCAAGAGAAATCCAAAAACCCAAAACCACAAATCCCAGACAGATCTACTCGGACCGCGTGGACGTTGTCGTTGTGATCATCATTGAGATTGGATACCATTGTCGTCGGAATCAAGCGAAACCAATTAACTTATTAACTTAACTTTCCAGAATGTTGAATGCAACCTTAATGACAGCTTGCGTGCAGGCATTCTTTCTACCTATAAGCTGAATTGTATGTATTATTAATAAAATTAGTTTTTACGAAGAAAAACTTTTTGGCACATGATTTTTCTCCGGTCAATTAGTTGTTATTAGGTTGTTGACTTCAAAAATGAGGGAGTAAAAAGGTAATTTTTGAGGGGTATACCTATTAATCTTGACTCCTTCACTCCTTCACTCCTTAAGAACCTTTTCAATTTCAGTCTGAGATTTCCATTCACTTTCAATTAAATATAAATGAGAAAAGGAAGTAATTCGTTAATAAATTAAAATTGCACCAGCTTTAATTTTATATAGCTCAATTAGCTGAGAAATCTATAAGTGACTGCTTGAAATGGTCATCCTTAAACAATTCCTTTAAATAGTTAAAAAATATAATTTCTTAAAATTGAAACTAACCACAGGTTGTCGTGTCATGGGTTAGCTTAGACCATAGCTGTTATTCATTTCAAGCACCTTTTGAGTGTTGTAGCAGAGAGCTTTTTTCAACATGTAACGGACTTGCGAAACTTGGCAAACTTGGTTTTCTTTACATTCTTTCAGTTGAAAAATCACTTTGAGCTTATAAAAATATATTAAAAGCTAAATTAGAAAAATTGCAAATTTAATTCATTCATATATTTGATTACAATTTTTTTTATGTCTACTAACAAATTTTAAAAATACTAGAAAGTTTAATAATTTAAAAACAACATGTAATTATACAAATTTGTTCAATTACATTTTTTTATATATATAAGGGAATTATTTACTTCGGTTTAAAATTGTTTGGAATTATTTCTGTTCTTCCTCTAATTATCATTTTTGTTTTGATTATAAAGCTTTCGAGAGTAGCGGTTTCGGAGAGTGTTGATTAAATAGCTTTTTCGTTTCTTTGTGTCTTTTCATATAATATAAGGCTTAATGCAATCTTGAACGGCTTTTTCTTATAGATAACACATTCTTTATACATTTTGCACTTTCTGAAAAAGTACATACTTTCTAGGGTGAGTCAATTCTGTCCATTCTCAGATGTATTCCCTCTTGAGTGGTTATCAGGAAAGTTCGCGAGGAGAACTTAAGAGGAATCTGTGTTTTTTCCGTTTTGCTAAATTTAAAATCCCTCAGGATATAGGCAAGACCCACTTTCACCTGCAGCTTGCCAAATCTTTCACCTATGCAATTCCTCGGACCTTCTCCAAATGGCAAATAAGCAAATGGATGACGAGCCTTGACCATTTCCGGATCAAAGCGACTGGGATCGAACTTCTCTGGCTCTGGATATAGCTCCGGATCATGATGAATACTATGCACAGGTATCATTATCTTAGTTCCTGGCTCTAGAGTTAAGTTGCTATCAGGTATTTGATAATACTTGGTGGAACGCCTCAATAAGTGAGGGAGTATGGGATATTTGCGTAGAGTTTCGTCCACCACTTGATCCAAGTAGGGCATTTCCTGAATGGACTCATAGGTAAGCCTTTGGTTATGGCGTCCCAAAACGTCCACAACCTCAACTCTGAGTCTCTCCTGAATATCAGGGTTTAAGGCCAGTTCATAGAGGCAAAAGGACATGGTGGTGGAGGAGGTATCAAATCCAGCCAGGAAGAAGACCAAAGCCTGGGCTGCAATCTGTTCAAAGGACAAGGCGTCCTTGTTTTCCTTTTCACCCAGTTCCATGAGTATTTGAATCAGATCATTGCGGTTTATATTCTCCTTCCTTCGGTAGTCCAGTGTCTGACGTACGGTGTTCAGGAAGAACTCACTGATCTCCGGACGAAACAGCTTAAAGCGCAGCATTCTTGCCAAATCCGGTTGGGTGAACATAAAGGCCTGGACGAGCACCGAGTGAAGTGGTTTCGAGGTCACCGAACGGCCCATCTGTCGGAACTCCGACTCCGGATCCTGGAGGCTATTGCACTCCAGTCCGAAGGCACAGCTTCCGATCACATCCGTGGTAAAACGAGCACACAAATCCTTGGCCTCGATCTCACCGACTTGCAGTTGACACGCCTCTGTCAACTTCTCACCCACGTCCACCATGTTTGGGAACATGTACTTCATTTTTCCGGAACTAAAAACCTGCGTTAGGTTCTGACGCAACCAGCGCCACTCGGGTCCATCCAGAAACAAGAGATTCCCTGTCAGCGGATCATCCCGCACATTATGGAAAAGACCACGATCTGCGAAACTTCCAAAATCACTGATCATTATCTTCCGGATTAGTTCCAGATCCATTACAAAGAGAGCTTTGGTCACAAAGGTAAAGTAACCGCAGTAGCGTTCTTCTCCACGAAACTTGTCATAGATCCTCTTGTTAATGTCCGTCCAGTGCAGATCCTTGCCAAACCCACTCATATTTCCACGGAACATTACTGGTTTTTCTCCAGCCACGCCCCTGCGCCTCCAGTATCCATAATGCCAGCGGAGCTTAACATAAAGCAAAAGTCCAGCGGTGAAAACGAGAACAAAGAGCGTCAACATGGTGACTGCAGCTCGTTAGAATAGCAACTGAGTGGAAAAGTTGCGGCAAATATGCTTAGTTGAGGGAAAAGCTTTCCCTAAATTCGCTTTTTCTTTGTCTCTCACTATCTCTATCTCGCTCTCTATCGTTTATATGTTTTATCTGCATTATATAGTCAAAATTGCACATATACCATATCGTGATTGAGGTTCAATTTGTAAAAAATGTAATTATAAACAATTATTATGAAATTATAAATGGGCGGCGCTGCTATGCTTTACGGATCATTAATCATTGACATTATCAATAAAATTGTGATTGCCTGAGCGTTAAAAATCAGTTTAAAATATTTTGAGTAATAATAATAATTTAATATTTAAGTGCTTAGATACGTTCCACTTTCAAATGAATGCCATATTTGGAAGACAAAGTGGGACTGCGAGTGTCCAAGGTCAGGGGAACCTCAGTTGACTTCGAAATGACAAATTTGAACCTCTTCAACAAAGAAACAATGCCAATCTTGGCCTGCATTTTGCCAAAACGCAAGCCAATGCAGTTACGAGGACCATCGCCGAATGGCAAATAGGAAAATGGATGACGGGACTTTGCCTTCTCCGGCTCAAAACGACTGGGATCGAAGCGCTCGGGATCTGGATACAAGTCCGCATCGTGGTGGATGTTGTGGATGGGTATCAGCACTGTAGTTCCCTTCTCGATAACGAAATCTGTATCCGGAACTTGATAGCTCTCATTGGTTTCGCGCAAAAGTTGCGGAATAATTGGATGCTTGCGAAGAGTTTCTGATGGTAAAGAGGGGTTAATGATCTATTTTTATAAATTATACGATTTTTTTACCCGCTATGACCTGTTCCAGATAGGTCATTTCGGCCAAGGCATCGTAGGTAATCTCCTCCCCATCCAAAACCCTCTCTATCTCGTCTCTAACCTTTTGCTGTATCTCCGGCTGCAGGGCCAGTTCATACAAACAGAAAGCCATGGTACTGGAAGAGGTCTCGAATCCGGCCACAAAGAACACAAAGGCTTGAGCAGCCATTTGCTCCAGGGTCAGGCCATGGGACAGGTCGATTCTTTTACCACTTTTAGCCGCTTCCTGATCTTCCGCTCGGAGTTCTATTAACTGATCCATAAAGTCGTTTCGCTTAATGCCGTTCTTAAGGCGGTAATCCACCGTGTTTTTCACCGCCGACAGGAAGAATTCAGTGAGATCATCTCGTAGTACCTTCATCCGCAACTTCTTAGCCAACTTGGCATTGGTGAAAATAAAAGCTTGTACTAGCATTGAGTGGCGGGGTTTCTCAAAGACCATGCGACCCTTCTCCCGGAACTCAGCATTGGGATCCTGAAGACTGTAGCACTCCAAGCCAAAGGCACAGGAACCAATGACATCTGTGGTGAACCTGGCACAGAGGTCTTTGATCTCCACATCGCCATCTTCTACTTTGGCCGCTTGTAAGGCCTTGTCCATGGCATCGGCTAGGCGATGGCCCACCTCCACAACCACACCCGACATGTGCTTCATCTTTCCGGAGGTGAAAACGGGAGTGAGCTTCTGCCTCATCGATTTCCACTCATCGCCCTCCAGGGTCAACAGATGCCCTGTCAGGGGATCATCCCGGGGATTGTTGAATATTCCACGATCTTGAAAGTGATGAAAGTCCTTGATTAGCACTTGCTTGATAAGATCTAGATCTGTGATCATGGCTGTTCGCTTGAAGAACATAAACATTCCAGCAAAAGGAGCTTGGCCCTTAAACTTATCGTAGATCCTCTGGTTAATGTCACGGAAATGATACTTCGATCCGACTCCCGCCATGTTACCAATCAGCGGTAGAGGGCGCTCATGTGGCACTCCCTTTCTGGCCCAGTATGTGTAGGAGTTGTGGTAGAAGCTATAGGCCAGGAATAGGACCACGCCCAATAAGGCTAGAGTTAGCAGCATTGCTCTTGATTAAATTCCTTAGGTATTCGCTTAATGTTTCGGATCGTTAAAGAGAGATCTTTTCTTTTATCAACCACTCTTATATAATATTCACTTTTGGAACAGAAAAGTTTGCCAAGACTTGATTTCAATATAAATTTGCGTCTTGATTTAGAGAAGGTAAACAAGCTCGAACGTATTTAATTTGTAGAAAGCACAAAGAGAACTGAAATGAGTTTGCCAAAGTTTGAGGTATATATAAGATCTTAGAACTTAAAAAAATAAAAAAAAAAACGATAGATAAGCATATGCGAAGCTTTTTTAATGGTTCTCTTAATTGTGAAAGCTTTTCCTCCCATTGAACGATCAAAACAGAACTGATAGATTACGTATATGGTAAACAAATATATTATTCAAGTTCGTTGTGCCGGCAAAAATGCTTCGTAATGCTGAGGAGAGCTAGAAAATATGAATAACATTATTGTTTAATGGCGCGCAGAAAATAGCAAGCAAATAAGTAAAAAAGTGTGTCATATGCTTAGATTGATACATTCGTAGACTGACTTGGCATTACTAATACTAATAATATTCACTATTAAAACCCTACTCTATAGGTCTACCCATTTAAACCTAATCTTAGTAGCAGTAATTTATGGCATCAGTTATTAACTCAATGAAGTGCCTCCCCAAAGCATTTTCCTTATCAAAAATGTTTAGTACACTTCGACATGATAACCACAACAGAATCGATAGATTATATTCCCGCGAGTAAGGTTTCTGCCTTGAAAATGCTTTGTAATGCTGAAGAGAGTGAGAAAATATCAGCAGGCCTGCAGTAAATGTACTCACAATCAGGAAATTATTGTGGAAATGAACTTGAGGCTTTTCAAAAAAAAGGTTTGCCTATACACCCTTATCGATTAAAATTTCATTAAAAATATACAATGTGGTTAACCTGCTGTCTAAATATTTTCTTTAAAACTCAAAAGGAATTTGAATTGAATGCTCAATTTTAGAAGCTTTTCAAAGACACTTTTCCAATCGACTCCTTGAGTGTTTGTCCTTCTAATTGAAATGTGAGCCTGGCTGTCAACAGGAATCCAGAGGAGCAGAGTTTATTGACAGGCTGTTGATGATTTGTTTTGGCCTTTGCATCTCTCACCTTTAATTAAATCCTGGCCAGAGCAAAACGGAAAATCAAATCAAGCGTAAACTCAATGAATTTCAGGAATTCCCACGTTTCATTATAAAAGTCGTCGCCGGGTAAATTTATGCGAAAGCGATTAAAGGTCCATTAAATGCTATGCCAGATGGACAGCGTTTTGGTTAGAGCAACCTCCCCCTTCTAACTTCAACCCGCATGACCTTTATCTGCGGCTCCTCAGTAAATAATAAAACGAAGTCGCGCCTAAAAGCATTTTGTGGCTGTGTGTGTTTGTGTGTGTGTTAGCTGTTCTCTGGGTGCTTAAAGGATTTTGGGCCTAATGCTTACGGCCCGTTTTATGCCGCTAATGCGCCATCTTCCAATCGACATAAAAATCGTAATGCCGCCGTTAAAGGCAGCTCAACTCATAAAAATAGCAGCGTGACAAAATCAAAATCAAAATCAAAACCAAAACAAAATCCGGAATTAAATAATCAAAAAGGGCCAAAAGGATATTAGGCTTATTGGCTGAATTTTTGTTGATTTTAATCGATTTTGTGGGGTTGAAGTGGCAAAATTATAGAGAATATTAGTAAGTAATTTATAAGCTAGAAATATTGATTTATAATTTTGTTGAGATACTTTGTTTCTACCTTTCTTTAACTTACTTTTTATCGATCATTAACGAAACCATAAAGTACATTGTATTGTTAATAAACTTTAGGCACACGCAACAGCTCAATAAAATCTAAAAAAAGACCGAGGGTCAAGTTTCTCATGATTTAGAATGGAGATAACGCCTATTAGGAAACCACCTTTAAGTATGACTAACCTATATTTTATAAAGTATGATTGCTAGATTAGTTGTTGTATTTCGTCTAGTCATACTCTCAACTCAAACAGCGAACAAGTTGGTAAGTTTAAATGCTAGACACATAGTAATACCCTTTACTGGTAGAGTGAAAGGGTATATTAGATTCGTTGAAAAGTACGTAACAGGAGAAGGAAGGGTTTCCGACCCTATAAAGTATATTTTTATATTCTTGGTCAATATCAATAGCGAAGTTGATTAAGTCATATCTGTCCGTCTATTCGTTCGTTTGTTCGTCCGCCTGTCTGTCCGTCCGTCTGTCCGTATGAATCCTGAAATCTCAATCTTTTAATCTCAATGTTCGAATCGGAACATTATTTCCCTATTTATGAAGAAATTCACCATCAGTTACTCTATATGCTTTTTCTAACAATAGGTGACGCATTTTCCACTAGCAAAATTAATATTTTAAAATTATATAAAACAGTAACGGGTATCTTACAGTCGTGGCACTCGATGATAGCATTTCCTCTTAATTATAAATAGAATTGCGCATTTTGTGATTACAAATTTTGTATGAGAGAACCTAAGCTCTCAAAAGTTATTAGAAAGCTCTACAGAAATCTATAATCATCATGCCTCGCTGTTAATTTAACAGTTGTCACTGAACGCCTATTCGGTGAAGTCGGCTAAGCGATAATATAAACCCATGTAGGCGTGAAAATTTCATCAGCCATTAGTCAAAAATTCCATCTTTCTTCCAAATAAAGAATATTTATATGTGATCAAAGTGTTTATCAAAGTGAAAAATATGTTTATTTTGATTAAATATAATATTTGAATAAACATATTTAGGAAAATATTTACTAGCTGACCGCAAGTTTGTTCATCGTTTTACGAAAGTCATCGTTATTGAATCCAAATGTTTGCTGAGAGATAAGAGGCGTTGTCTAAAAGCTCTTTGTCGGGTATAAAAAGGCAAACATAGGGGCTTAACGATCAGTCTTATTTGAGAATTAAACAAGAAAGGAGTTAGTTTAGTGATCGCTCACAATGCTGTTTACCATCGGCCTTGTGGCTGTCGTTCTGGGCCTGGCCTACAGATTCTACATCAATATCTACACTTATTGGGAACGCAAGGGTGTTCCTTTTGAGAAACCTTTGCCCATATTTGGCAACATGAAGGGAATCGGATCGAAACTACATTTCCGGGAAATCAACCAGAGGATCTACGATAAATTCAAGGGAAAGGCTTCGTTTGGTGGAATGTACACGTTCTTCAGGCGGACAGCCATGATCACAGATCTGGATCTCATCAAGCAGGTGATGATTAAGGACTTCAGTTACTTTCAAGATCGTGGTACCTTTAACAATACCAGGGATGATCCCCTGACGGGGCACCTCTTCAGTTTGGAGGGCGAAGAGTGGCGTTCGATGCGGCACAAGCTGTCACCTGTTTTCACCTCCGGCAAGATGAAGCATATGACGGAAGTGATTGTGGATGTGGGTCATCGTCTGGGTGATGCTATGGCCAAAGAGGTAAAGGAGGCCCAAAAAGACGATGGAAATGTGGAGATTAAGGATCTGTGTGCCCGATTCACCACCGATGTCATTGGTTCCTGCGCCTTTGGCCTAGAGTGCTATAGTCTCCAAGATCCCAATGCCGAGTTCCGGCAAAAGGGACGTGAGATATTCACACGGCGTCGTTACTCGCAGATCGTTCAAGCCTTTATGGTTTCCAATCCTAAGTTGGCTAAATTTTTCCGTATGAAAGCTTTACCTGATGATATAACAAACTTCTTCTTGTCTACGGTCCAAAACACCGTTGACTATCGCCTCAAGAATGGCATTAAGCGGAATGATTTCATCGATCAGTTGATACAGCTCCGAGCCGAGGATCAGGAAGCGGCTAAAAAGGGTATGGGAATCGATCTGTCTCACGGCCTGACTTTGGAGCAAATGGCTGCACAGGCCTTTGTGTTTTTCGTTGCTGGATTTGAGACCTCGTCCAGCACAATGTCCTTCTGCCTTTACGAACTGGCAAATAATCCGGATATTCAACAACGTTTAAGGGAGGAGATAGAAAGTGTGTTGGGTAACGTAGAAGGAGGAGAGCTAAGCTACGATTCCTTGGCACAAATGTCATATTTAGATCAGGTGATTGCTGGTAAGTATTACTACACCCAATCTTATAGAAATCAGTCTAAGTTCTTTTAACTTTCAGAAACCCTTCGGAAACATCCTCTCCTTCCCCATCTCATCAGGGAGTGCAATCGGGAGTACAAAGTACCCAACACAGATATTGTTCTGGACAAGGGCGTGAATGTCGTGATTCCTGTTCACAACATTCACCATGATCCTGAGATTTATCCCGCGCCAGAGAAGTTTGACCCCAGTCGCTTTGAGCCCGAGCAAGTCAAAGACCGTCATCCAATGGCCTATTTGCCTTTTGGCGATGGTCCACGGAACTGCATTGGTCTGCGTTTTGGAAAGATTCAGTCGAAGATTGGCATTGTATCCTTGATTCGTCGCTTCAAGTTTTCCGTATCTAATCGAACTGAAGTTCCTTTGATTATGTCCAAGAAGGGTTTCCTTTTGGCTAGTGAAAATGGCATTTACTTAAAGGTGGAAGCTGTTTAATTTTAAAACAAAAAACAGGTTGAGAGTTCAGCCATAGACAAAAGCAAATGTTGTGTAAAATTAATTTTAAATAGATTAAATACGTTATACAGCAAAAGTGAAAGAGGAAAATTATTTATTTATAAGATTTAATCGATGATTAAACAGTGGCTAAAACTTTGCTAATTAATTTGGCAAAAGAGCCCCAAGCTAAATCAGATAAAAAAACAAATTATAATTGTATTTGAATAAAGTTAATAAGTTTGTTAACTGATTGAAACTTTTTTGAGCTAAAAAGTCATATTTTATTTGGCATTTGGTTTTTGGGGATTGCCATTTAAAAGCAGAAAATAACTTAACGTAATTTTTAATACTTTAAATAGATGTTAAACTCATTGAGAAACAATGCTTTCCTAGAGTGTGATTTACTTGAACTTCGAAAAACAAATAGCAAAAAAGTATAACAAAGTATTCTCGTGCTAATCTGAACCCAAAATCCGGCTAAAACTTTTCCGTGACTCGCTCACTAATTTGCTCATTTCTCATGCGTTACTTGCCAGCTGCTAACCGAGTACGACTGTTTTGACAGAATTGCATGTGCTATGCAATATGTTCGCCATTCGCGATTTCCGTAGCAGAAGTAGGAGTAGGAGTAGGAGTAGGAGGAGCTATCCAGCCAGGCAGAACTTTTTGCCAAGGCACTTTTTGATAGTGCAGTCACGCCACAGAATCCTTCGGGGCAATGTGAAAACAAAACAAGACAAAAAACTTGGATCTGGAAAACAAATGGAATAATTAGCCAGAAATAAGATGAACTTGCTCACGGCAACTGGCAAGCTCACCGAAGAACAGGTGGAGCAATACAAACTCGCACTCATTGTTCAACCCCGGAGAGAGATAACCCAACAGCATTTGTATCCGTTACCAGTTTTCTGTTTTTGTAGCTTTAAGTCTAGGAATGGTATCGAAATCTCCATGGAATGACCACCAGGGGGCTAAACTAAAAAACAAAAAACTGAATCGGTTTTTTCTTTTTTTGGTGAGGAAGTGTAAAATAAGACAAAGAAAGGCAGCACCACCAGTATCCTGTATCGCCTGATTGGATCTGGGTGGGCGTTTCTGGGCTGACCATGTCCTTCGCTTCTTTTGTGTTTATAACTTTGAGGATGGCCATTGATTTTCGCTCAATTGGCGGCGTTGTCTATTCGGAAAACAGCTGCCATGATGAGGCGGAAAAAATACAATATTTCTACTTCCTCGTTTTTTTGTATATTTTTTTCTTGCTGGCCATAATTCATTTAGGCCAAATTCCTTTTTCGCCTTCACATAGACAATTTGAGCCGATGCCCTGATGGCTCCTCGTCATCATAGCTGGACGAGGGCCACGCATCTTGTGTTCTTATTATTATGTTATTTACATTTATTATTGATTGATAACAAATTGCTAAACATTGACTAACGAGCGCACATTGTGGCCAAAAGGTCAAAGTGTCGGAATCCTCCTTCGCACCTTCTACCCGGCTCACGTAATTATGTGAAATTCTCTGGGTGATGAGGTATATCTGCCGATACCTTCGTTACAGTTTGTTGGGTCACGTCGGTTTGGGGTGGAGGAGGCAGAGGTTGTAAGGTATCGATATGGTAAAACATGAATAACTTTTTTCGATATCAAAAGGGTATCTAAAAATATAGAGTATTCTTACTTGAAAGTTTGCTAAACATTTTCTACAGGATTTTGTTATAGTTTCCTTCTTCCTAATATGAACTTTTTCAAATTCGATCTACAAGTATTTGCTGAAGTATAAAAACTATAAGTTCTTACCATGATATATGTCTTAAGTGCTTTTAATTCAGTTTTATTTTATCTTATTAGTCCTGTGATTACCAAGGCTAACACACAAACTTTTTATTTTGATTATCCCTTTAAAGGGTACTCAACTTTCTACTTAAATCTCATTCCTGGGCCATTTCCTTGCTGACCCAGAGATTTATGAGCTGCGTACTGATATAAATCATGCTTAGGTAACATTCATTATGCTTAGGTGTAGCCGGTTAGACGAGGCCTGCGGAGAAATTCTGTCGTAGAACACTTTTGCGGGCAGCATGGAGGTGTACCAAACGGTGTTGAACTTTTATGGCCCAGTCGGGCATTTTGTAAGCGCTTTGCGTAATAAATGGCCCCCGACCAAAAGCCATACAAATTGCTAATTACTTGAGCTGCAAAGGTGTCAGAGTCACTTGAGTGGGCTTTGGGCCAGTTGGCCCAGGATCTTGCCTTTGAAAACCCGGTGACAAGGCACTTTACAATTTCATTGCTTTCGCTTTATTTATGTTGTTTACTGGTCTAGTTTGCTTCCTTTTTTTTTGGTTTTTATATCCCAAAATGGTCATATAAATTACATGGAGAAATATTAGCTGGACGATGTGGAAAATAACATTGAATGCAAAGGCGTTTTTCGATTGCCTTGGCAACCATGGGAAGCATTCGACTGGAATAAAGTGGTTTTTGTGGCTTTGTTTTTTGGCCATCTGCATTATCTGGACGATTGCTGCAAGTACAATCCACTCTTTGGGGCTTAGTATTTGCTATTGCTAAAAATAAAAATAAAAAGATTAAATTATTTCACCATGTTCTCTTACTCTAGGTCTCTTTCTCCTTTCACCCAAAAAAAAAAATGGAATGCCCAACCGAAAACACTTTCAATTCGAAGGGAAGCCATGGAATTGTTTATTGCTTGGCCATTCGACTGGCGAATTTCCTTTTGGCAATTGATTGTGAGTGTGGACACAATCAATTTTTCCAAATCGTTTGGCAGACGACTCGCATTAAGCTGTCAGAGGACATCAGCAGCTGGCCAATTCAGCTAGACAATAATTTATCATCCTCGTTTTGCGGATAAGAAGGGGGATAGGAGTTGGCCTAATCAAATCAAGTCCTGATTTGATAAAAAGCCAACGCGAATCTGTATGTCAACTAGCGACGCCTGTCTGGTTTACAATCTTTTTGCCAAACCCCTATAACAAATCCCCCTTGCCATAGTTTTCGCCAAGCAACTTGATTAATGGCATTACTGCCTGCCACTTACCTAGGCGGCACACACGGCGTATGCTCATTTTACGTAGCATCTGCAACGTTGCGATGAAGTCAACGTCAACGGGTTGTCAACAGGAAAAGTGCTCTACCATCCCTAGACTAGACACCATCCACCCAGCTTCTGCTAGTGCTCGGCAATTTTCTGGCTCGGCAGGTGCTATTAGTCTACCAACACCTTGATGTGTTGCCTTTGGTTGGGACAGCTCAATTGCTCTTGGCTTTCTCGATCGAATGCACTCCATTGGAAGCTAACAAGGATTTTCCGGAATCAGACTGCTAGCATGTTGTCCTCTCATTATGTCATTACCAAGATGTGTGCTCCTTTTTGGCCAAATGCCCAAAGACTGCTTGAAAGGGATTGCCAAACTAAAACAGCTGAATAGAAGCTTTCACGAAGCCTTTTAAGAAGTATTTAAATATTTCTAATTTTAGATTTTAATTGTATGCTTTATAGTACTTAATGAACTGCAAGTGCATGTCGATTTCCAATAGAGAGTTTTCATTATAAGAGAAACAATTTCCATGGACAAATCCTTGAGAAAACTAAAACGAAGGGACAAAATGCAGTTCAATAAATTTTATGCGAAGGAAATTTACGTGCTACGGCATTGTGATTCAATATTCAACATTTTTTACAGTAGCTTGCGAATATTTTCATTTTTCCGAATTCAATTACCAGTTTTCCCAAACTTGCAAATCGTGCGTGAAAAATTTCTTGGAGAGCACAAAAAATTCTTCAATGCAGTTGAATAAATCTTGACTGCCTTTGGTTTTACTGACATCATGGTTTCATAACCTTGGTATCCCTGAATGTTGATTAACTTTGCAAGAAACAGAAGAAAAACATTGGTAAGAATGTTGAAATGGGAACAATGTTGCAACGAGCATAGCCCAATGAAAAAAAATATGCAATAAAAGCAACAGTGGAAAATTTCAATTTGCCAGACTTGCAGATAAACAAAGGCCGAGGCCTGCAGTTTGCATTTTCTAGGATATGGAAGGACAACTATTATTATAAAGCAGTTATTTTTTAAAATTTAAAGTACATATTTATTTTTGTAATAACACAGCTGGGTTAAAACATAAACGTTCAAACATATGTTATTAAAATAATATTCCACGGAATTAACTTTAAAGGTCAAAAGTGGCAACTTTGACTTGCTTAATTGAAGGGAAAGCAGCTTTTTGAAATAATTATAGCTGAAATATTTTAAATGATTATCAAGAAAATAAGTGGGAAATATATTAAAGTTAATATCTTAATCACAAATGCCGTTCAAAGGGCTTGAAATGTCTTTGTTAGTAACGACATTTGCCATAAACCAGTTAAGAAATTTTGCAATTAAGTTGCATTTACATAGAAAATGACAAAGTTCAAGGGAGGTTTAGGAAAATCTTAGATTGAATACAGGAATCACAAAGAATCAAAGCCTTTAGTTTGAAATTAATTGACTTAAATAACAATAAATGTATCTGACAGATACAAACCATAACAAAGAAAGAAGTCATAACATGACCTAACGAATATTTACACCCTGCCTTTCTAGTCAACGGCTTTTTAAGGGTCAATTGCCGTGTATCAGGAGGTTGTCTTAACTTTTCGATTGCAAGGCATTAACCTTTTGACAACTAACCTGAACCTAAACCTGAGCCCGACATGACATGACCTTTGCCACTTGTCAACACAAATTAAGTTGCCGTTTTTATTCAGCCCAATTATCGTATATCTGTGCTGTCTATCTATGGCCCAAAGAAAAACTTATCTGGCATTGACTCCGATATTGTATGTTGGCCGCTTGGGTCATAGATGGCTATATGGCTAACACGTTCGTTGGCCCGTAATAACCGAATTATCTTCGAGTTATGTTCGAACCTCGGAGATGTTTTTGGCCGAAGTCGTTGACACTTTCTCGTACGTCTAGAATGCCATAATTTAAGCGGATTAAGACAATGGTCAACGCTTTTCTCATTTTCCTTAGCGACAGCTGTTGTTGTTTGCCAGGGAAATTTATGCGAGTTTTTCTTGTTGTCTTTTTTTTTTCTCGACTCATGTTATTTTTTTATTTTCTGGCGGCTGCCAAAGTCATTTGCTGTAATGACAAACGGAGTTGGCAACAATTGTAAAATACATGACACGGGTCCTACATGAGAGGCAACTTTCTACAGGAGTTGGGTTGTTG